TTTTTCTTTGTTTACAGTCAACTTTGACAATGGTAAGATTATTCTTTGTTGATATTATCTGTCCATCATCATCATTCAACTGGTTTCAGATTTGTCATTGTAATATCTGCCCTATGAGTAGTGAAAACATCATCTTGGTAATGTCTAGTCGTTATTGTTTTTCGCAGCTAGTTTTTTTACACTAATCTTCAAATCAATTTTTCGCATCTGTTGGGTTAGGAATGAAAAACTGCACGTTTATTATTTCTGTTGATACTTCGTTGGTCCTTTTTCTAGACTAAAATATTTTTTGTTTTCCGAAAGATATATGATATCTCATATTTGTAATGGTTATTTTGGATATTCAAGCATTAAATTTTTTTATGAGTTGACCCCCCCTCCCTCTTTACTTTTATTTTAAATAATTTCAGATTTCTTACTGTAATGTCTGGACTATGAGTAGTAAATACTTTATCTAGGAAATTCATAGTCGTATTATTGTTTTTTAGCAGTTTTGACGGATATAACATTTTTATTTCTTAATAAGATTAATATTTGCATCAATTAATTATTTAATGAAGAAACTGCATATTTATTGTTTCGCTAGTTTTAAATACTAATATAGGTAGTACCATAAATTCTATTAGACGTTTTTCATTCAACTAGTCTCAAATTTTACAATATAGTTTTATCTGGATTATATGATTAGTAAAAGCATCATCTTGGTAATTTCTTGGTAATATCTTGGTAATCGTCAATCTCAGCAGTTTTGTTTTGGATTGATCTTTAGAATAATTTTGATTTCTTCACAATTAATGAAAGGAACACTTCTACTTTTCACATTCTATTATTGCTCGCATTTGTTCATTGATATAATCAATAAATACTTCTTTGTCATTTCTGTTGACACTTCTTCGGTTTCTTTTCGAACTTATTTTCTACAACAAGTTTCAGATGTTTCATTGTAATGTCTGGACTATGAGTAGTGAAAGCATCATCTTGGTCATTTTTTGTTAAACTATTGTTTTTTAGAGCAGTTTTTTTTTAATTGACTTGTAGAATAATTTTGATTTTCTTTACGAGCACAAATGAGAATATTTATGTTTTTTAATTTTATTAATTTATCTATTTGTTAATTGATAACTCTACCTAAGATCTTGAAAAAGTCTTCAAGTTATCCCAGTCCATATCTTGCGTAAATAAGAATAACAAAAAATCTAATTTATTTTTATTATTATGTTGTTCAATTGTCTCTTTGTTTCACCTATACGTACACACTGACTTTTAGGCTTTTTTGACCAGAAAGTGCAACTTACACAACTACGTTGTTTTACACTATGATGATATAAAAATTGCACCATACTCAACAAATATGCTGACTGGCGAAACCAAAAGACGTTTTTTCATCGATATAACTAAAAAAGCTGTTGACACAACTTTCTGTTACGCTTCTACACATGCACCTACACACTGCAGATATACTGAGCCAAAATAAGGTGTCCGAAATGGTCTGCTCTGCGAATACTCGTTATGTAAGTTCAGTTAGTTCCCTCTTCACCGCTACAACTCATTAAATGTGACATTTGTCTAAAATCATTTTCATTGAAGAGTAACCTTACTAGGCACATAAATGTAGTACATAATAAGAAAAAAACTTTCGCATGTGAGTTTTGTCACAAATTATTTGGATATTAGAATGTACTCGAACGTCACATAAATTCAGTACACGATCGTTGCAAAAAAGTAGTGTGAGATTTTTTCCAGGACATTTGGAGATAATGGCTGTTACCTTTACCTAAGTACTCTATGTACCTTTCAAAATCGTTTGCATATGAGTATACTTCAATTAAAAAAAAAACAATAAAATATTTCAATCTGTCAGTAATTAGTTGAATTCGTACTTTTGAGTATTGTTGTTAAACCGATATTTTAATTATCCTATCATCAGTCAAATGTTTTCCTTAGTGCCTGATCCCTATTTGTATGCTACCTGCTCCCTATGACCCGACTACCTCATTGCTGATTTTCATACACACAGAGAATGACATCGTCGATGGAAAAAACGTTGTAAGCTGTGGAAGATTGGAAAAAGTGCCACCACCACGCAAACTTACATTTGCCGCTTACACAACACGAAAAGTATTAATGTAAAATTTTTTATTGATAAATGAATTAAACTATTAGATTAAACTATTAAAAAAAATTATTAGAGCTCATACTGATTTTAAATAAATGCATAGAATATTTTTTGATTTATATTATCATGTTGGTTTTTTCAGATGAAACATATTATTATCACGTCGCTCTTGGCAGACATAATCAGTGTCCATCCGCAAATTCATCGCGAAATCTGACGACACGGTACAATGTTAGCTAAACGCTCGAGGTTCAAGACACAATCATTTTGACAATATTTTTATTGAAATTTTAGAAAAGCATATGTTTAAGAATCTATTCATATTTACAATTGTCAATGATCATTCCTTCTTGAAATTGTGTTATACATAATTTTTGCCACCGTAATGAACAAATATTTGATGTTTGAGTAAACTCACTTTTTGTCCAAATTTTTTCTCGCATTTATCGCATGCGAAATCTTTCTGACCTTCGTGTACTGTCTTTTGGTGAACAAGCAAAATCTGTTTATACCCAAATTTCTTCTCGCACATGTTGCACGCGTAGTCTTTGCGACCTTCGTGAAGTAATGTTTGGTGTCCCGTCAAATTACTTAGTTTTCCAAATACCTACTCACACTTGTCGCATTCATAATTTTTACGACCTTCGTGTATAGTCCTTTGGTGCTTCAACAAATCTAGTTTACTTCCAAATTTCTTCTCGCAATGTACGCATGCGTAGTCTCTGTTGTCTGCATGGGTTGTTTTTTGATGCATTATTAAATTGCTCCGATTTCCAAACTTCTTGTCGCATGTGTCGCATGCGTGATCTTTACGACCTTCGTGTACGATCCTTTTGTGCTGAAGCATAATCCATTTTTGTCCAAATTGCTTCCCGCACTTTTCGCAAGCATAATCCTTGCGACCTTCGTGGACTGTCTTTTGATGTCTAATCAGAATGTTTTGATTTACAAATTTTTTTCCACAATTGTCGCATGCAGAATCTTTGCAACCCTCGTGTACTGTCCTTTGGTGTCTGAGCAAATGCGATTTTTGTCCGAATTTATTCTCGCACTTGTCGCATCCGTAATCCTTGCGACCTTCGTGGACTGTCTTTTGATGTCTAATCAGAATGTTTTGATTTACAAATTTTTTTCCACAATTGTCGCATGCAGAATCTTTGCAACCCTCGTGTACTGTCCTTTGGTGTCTGAGCAAATGCGATTGTCGTCCAAATTTCTTCTCGCACTTGTCGCATCTGTAATCTTTGCGACCCTCATGAACTGTCTTTTGATGTATGAGCAAAGTCAATTTTCGTCCAAATTTCTTTTCGCACCTGTCACATCCATAATCTTTGCGACCTTCGTGTACTGTCTTTTGATGAAACAGCAAATGATGTTTTTGTCCGAATTTCTTCTCACACTTATCGCACGTATAGTCTTTCTGGTTTTCGTGGACTGCCTTTAGGTGGGTGAGCAAATTACATTTAAATCCAAATTTCTTTTCGCACCTGTCACATCCGTAATCTTTGCGACCTTCGTGTACCACCCGTTGGTGGTAGAGCAAATGCGATTTTTGTCCGAATTTCTTCTCACACTTATCACACGTATAGTCTTTCTGGTTTTTGTGGACTGTCTTTAAGTGGGTGAGCAAATTACATTTAAATCCAAATTTCTTTTCGCACTTCTCACATGCGAAATCTTTGTGACTTTCGTGTACTATCCTTTGATGCGAATGCAAATAGGATTTATGGCTAAATTTTTTTTCGTAATTTTCCAATGGAAAATCATTGCAACCTCCGTGTACTGTTTTCAGGTGATAGAGCAAACTTGGTGTATTTCCAAATCTCTTGGCGCACTTTTCACATAAGTAATCTTTGAAAACTTTGTGAAATATTTTGTTGTGCTTAAGTAAAGATGATTTATTTTCAAATTTCTTCTCGCACTTGTTGCAAGTGAAACCTTCAGGATCTTTGTGAGCCAATTTCTGATGCGTAAACAAATTCGATTTTTTCACAAATTTCTTCTCACATTGGTCACATGCAAAATCTTTGCGGCTTTTGTGTACTAATATTTGATGTCTACTCAAATGACTTCGGAACTCAAATTTCTCATCGCACTTTTCGCAAGCGTAGTCTTTTTGTAGTTTGTGAATTGTGTCTAGATGTTTTATCATACTTGATTCTAGTGCAAATGTTTCTGGGTCAATATCACAAATGTATTGTTTGTCGTTTGAAACAACATCGTCGCGTTCTATTGAATTATTTTCTGATTTCTTCTCACTTTTTTCCATTTTGATGCCTAAAATAAACGTTGAATCCTTCTAATTAGTGCCACGGAAACTAAATGAGTAAAGTGTATCTTTAGGTATTACTATGGCTTGTTTCGTCGGAAAAGACAACATTCGAACTGATTTGTTTTTGCTATTAAACACGATCAATGTATACGAGGGACTATTTCTGAATTGTTTATTAGTTCATTATTGACAATCAATTTACCGATTTATCTGTTCATACATCTTACTTACAATATTCCATCAACTCAAATTTGGCGGAGATTTTTTTTGACCTTCTAAAATAAAGCAATTTAATAAAATTTCTTGTGGCATCGAGTAATGTTAAAAATCGTAATATTCATTCCTAAATTTGCCGCCCTCAATGCTATGGCATTATTGACATACTCCGTAAAGTATAAGGATCGAAAGACATTGTTTCAAAGCAATAGTTCGGCTCCGATAAACTACTTACCTTGAGTACATTCACATTTGTGGATGCTCGAGTTTTCTGCGCGAAGTCGCGCTCTTGAACTTTCTAAATTGTTTAATAGTATACTTTTTTTTAAATTTATATTTTTAATATGAGTATAGTAAAATTAATGTCAATAAAATACCTTGCTAATGAATACAGAATTCGAGTTGGAATAAAAAATTTTATTCAGAATTCGTTTAAATTTATTCTTACAAGTATATTTGTACATATTCAACAGTAAAATAACACTTATGTCATCTAATCTTAACACCTCAAAATCAAAAGCATCCAATTTCATTTTTTTACGATATTTCGAACGACGATTTACATCTCGACGTCTTTTACGGTTTGCGGTCGAGGTCGACGGCGCGCGGGAGAGGTTGGGCGGATTTTTTTTTCTTTTTTTTCTCATATGTACATTGTGCACCTCTCTCGTCGTTATCTATGAAGGTTCGTTCGTGACACACTTATTTCTCATGTACACAATTTTTTTTTTCATTTTCTTCGTTTACGAGGCGACTTTGGTGAACTTTAAGTGTATACCACCGGTGGGCGCCAACAAAAATGCCTTCGGATTATTCACGTACGGGATGGGAGTTTTGTCGCAGACCTCGACTCGGTAATTTTTCAGAATCTTAACGAGGCCGACTTTGGATTGGAAGTTGGCGAATCGCATACCTGCAAAAAATTCAGAATTATTAGCCGTCTTATGAAATATTGTCAAAAACATTTCAATTGAATAAATTGCTCACCGATGCAGTTTCTCGGCCCGTCGCCGAACGGCAAGAAGAACGACGAGTGCCTCAGTTTCTTGTTCTCCTCGCTGAACCTCTCGGGATCGAAGGTGTCCGGATCGGGATAGATCGCGGGATCGCGCTGTATGGCGTAGGCCGGAATCCAGACCCTCGTGCGGGCCGGTATCGTGACTTTGGTGCCCGAGAACGTGTACGGCTCCATGGACTGCCTCATTATCGTGGTCACCGGTGGATACTTCCTCAAGGTTTCTGAAGTTAATAAAAAAACAAAATCGAAGAAAATTAGCCACCGTGGTTGAGTTGATTAATACGGTTCGACGCACTCACCGTTGAAAACTTTGTCCATGTAGCTCATGCTCTTGATGGTCTCGTACTTGAGCTGTCCGTCGCAGCTCTTCAGGGTCTCGCGTATCTCGTTGCGCAGCTTGTCCTGCACGGACGGATTCAGCGCCAGCTCGTAGAGGGCGTTGCTGATCGTCGTCGAGGACGTCTCGAATCCGGCGATGAAGAAGACGAACGCCTGGGCGGTTATCAGGATGTCGTCCAGTTCTGCGAAAAAGGAAACGCAACGATAAAGAAAGCTGATTAATGTGGTTTTACAAGGAGACCACTTCGGAGACTTTGGAGTCTTGCAGACTAGAGGTCCATTTAAAAAAAAATCGTTGCTACTTTCTATTCCAAAGAACAAAAGAGTTTCAAATTTTTTCAGAATTTTCAGGACCATCTATCCCCTTTTTAAGGAGGTTCCCTTGCAAAGTTCGCAAGAAGTACATGTATCAATATTGATAGATTTTGATTTCCCGAATCTAATGGTATAGCTCTTATATGTCCAAGCCAGGCAAAATCTCGAGAAAAACACGATCAAAGTTTCGCAAATTAACATGGGCAACATAGACATGCATGAAAATTTGAGCTACATTTACAATTTATAAAAATAAATCAAAGTTCGCTGAGGAATGATTATATACAAATTGTAGGGAAAGTTCTTATCTTTCAAAAACTGTGTCTCAAAGTAGAGGTAGCCAGCCGTTTTTTCAATATTTTTTTAATAAAAGACGCGAAAACACGACTTTTCGGCTCGTTTTAGGGCTAGCAGACGACAAGCCAGCTAACCTAACCCATGTTACTGCGCGAGCACTCAGTTGACTAGCGTGTTACCCGAGGAAACCCCCTTAAGAGGTCCTGAAACCTGTAAAAATAACGTCAAATTTGGGCCTCTCGAATTAAGTAAGACTTTTTTGTTCTTTGCATTCTTTCCCAAAAAAATTTAGGGAAAGCTTCGTCACTCAAAACCGAAGTGGTCTCCACGTTAGAAAAATACCACCAGATGGCGCTACACTCACCGATATCGCCAACTTTGCTGGGATTGTCCCTGATCTCCATCAGCAGATCGACGAAGTCCGCTCGCTTCACGTTGTTCTTCCTGCGATACTCCATGGTCTGGCGCATGCTCTCGATGAAGAAGTCGTTGATCTCGTGATCGTAGAACAGCGCCGGGAGCATATCCAGCAGCCAGGGGGCCGCCTCCCTGATGCGCATCTTGATGAACTTCATGCCGTTGATCTGGAACACCTTGCGTCCCACGGTGCGAAACTGGCTCTCCTCCTCGCCCAGGGCGTTCATCTTCAATCCGAAGGCGCACGAGCCTATGACGTCGGTGGTGAACTTGGCCGTGATCTCGCGACACTCGATCACCGAGTCCCGCTCGACCTGCTTTTCGAGATACTCCTCGAAGTGATCGGCGCACTCGACCAGCAGATAGAACATCTCCTTCAGCTTGCCCGAGGTGAAGGTCGGCGAGAGCTTGTGACGAAGCGGACGCCACCTCTGCGGCTCCAGCGAGAACAGATGCTGCGACAGCGGATCGACGCGCGGATTGATGGTGAAGCCGCGATCGGCGAACGTGGTGAAGTCCTTGATCAGCACGTCCTTGATCAGTTCCGGATCCTTGACAATGATCACGGGGGTGCGACGCGTGAATATGCCGATCAGCGGCTCGTCCTTGAACTCCTCGTAGACCTTGGCCAGATAATCGCCGAGGGACGAGCGGCCCAGCATGATGTCGATCACGTTGCCGAAGAAGGGCAGTGGTTTCGGGCCCTTGACCTTCTGGTCGCGCCAGAAGTTGAAATTCGCCACGAAGTAGTAGTAGACGGCGAGAAACACGAGGCCGAAGCCGGTGAGCAGCTCGTAGCTACTCCAGCTCATTTTGACGTGCGTCTGCAACGCGAGATGAGAGAAGAATACATTATTACGTATGTAATGATGAATTATGATCGAGCGATAAAATTGCTATAAGCCGCGAGTAGTGTTATTACGTAATGCATCCAAGAGATTTTAAAAATATTTTCAAGGTACTTTTCAAAAAAACAAATAATCTCGATCGAGTGTACATAGGAATTGATATTTTATGCACATAACAACAACGACAACGACAACAACAACAACAACAATGATATTTCCCACGGTAAATACGTACATCAAGGTCCTCGAAGTCACAGTCACACGCGGAAAATATATCGATTATTTTACCTGTTTTATATGTCTCGTCGATGCCTTCCGTTCAATCGCTCTTTATTTATTACTAAATCACATGAAATATATCGTAATAATCGCGGCTGATAAAAGCAGGCCACTACCATCGATGCGGGCGTCTCGTACGTAACTAACGCGGATTCGCCGTCGTCGGCCGTTGTCGCTATAACGTTGATGTATTTCCTCTGCTTTATTCTTCCTCTAATATATAACGAGCGAGCGAGGCACAGACACGCAGTAGCGCAGCTGTGGTGCTGCCGTTACACATATATATACGCTCGGATCAAACGTTGTCAGCGTGAATTGCAGCTTTTGTGTTACACACCGCATCATCCTTTTTTTCCGCGATCGCACCACCGTACGTGCGATTTGTTTATGTGAATTATCGCGCGCGCGCGGCGGGCGTATAATATAATTTATACACGTGAACGCAAAAATCGGATTGTCGAAATCGATCCGTCGAGGTTCCTCTCTCGTATATAAGCGCCCCTCTATTTTTACCCGAAACACGCGACAATTTGTTATCGATTTTTGACGCAATATAACTCTTTCTTATCTCGCGCAGGTAGAGAGACCTGCGCTTATCTTATCTTATCGCCTGAAAATAGCCTAATCATTATCGCACGGCCTTTCCGTACTGTTTTGCATTATTTTTGCAGTCGTACAGAAGAAAAAAATCATATATTTGCATATTGTATCTCCGATATCGCAGCTCGTCGATTGCATTATTATCGTAAGATAAACTTCGGCTTAGCATCGATTAGTAGACACGCGTTTTTTTTTTTGCTAATACGGATGCTTTATATATGTAACTAGATCCACACCTGCCTGCCGCGGTGGTCTTTGGTGAATGAACCGCGTCACGATGATGTGTATGTCTCGCGCAAACGCATCGGGCGAGTGTACACACACGGTAGATAAAGACAAATCGATTTGGATCTTTAATAATTTTAAATACGCACGAGCCGCGAGCGAATCGAAGTCATTATCTTGCATGAGACGTTTCTTTTTTTTTAGAATTATCGCGCGGTTTCTTTTTTCCTCGTTACAAAAATAAAATAATAATCGATGCAACAACGCACAATGCAGCAATCCGTGCGATTGTGCATTAAAAATGGCGAGCAAAAAAAAGATAAAATATAAAGAATCGCGAGAAGCTGATTATACAATATCTCGTACAGGTTGTACACAAGCGACAAAGTTAATTTATAGCGCGCGACGCATCATGCCGGTATAGGCTCTTGGAAAATGCATTTTTTTAAGTATTGGAAAAAAAAAGGAATCTACGACGCATATGAAGAGCTTAATTGATTTTTACTCGTGTAACGTCTAAAGCTCGTTGAATTTTAAGACTCCCGGTTTGTTAACGAACAAATTTTAATAAACGATAATTCGTGCGCGCGGCACAAAAGCGTAATAAACTTGGAGAGCTCGTACATAATATAGCCTTTAAATGAAGGATGTTATTTTGACAGCAGCAGCAGCTGTCAAAATCAAATTCTTTTTTACATCCGCGAAAAAAAAATTAATGCATGGAACCTGGCCCAAGTGTGCACCAAATATTGCCCATGTTTGCAACATTGACATTGATTTTTTTTTACGCGGATAGCATTTGTCAAAAAAGAACTAAGTGATGAAATTTGTACCTCCTGATCGGAGAGAATGGCAATCGAAAACTTATAACTCTCAATTATTTCGACGAGGAAAAAGGCTCAAATGATATCGCACACGTTGTTTTGCATATGCGACGATATACGCGCGCGGACAAACGTGTGGCACGCACAGAGACAGAGACTGCGAGTATATCTCATACGATGCGATGATTGATGTAATTCAGTCGCTCGAGTCCGAACCCAGACGACGACTATTTAGCCATTGTATGTACGAGGCGCAGTTTCAAAGCTGCGCTCGCACACACACACTTACACTATACGCAGCTCTTCCAGGCGCAGATTAGATCTTGGGATCGTCGACACTCTTGTGCCTTTAATTCCGACTACGATGCGGACATGCCATGTACGAACTGTGTCTGCAAATGTATAATCTTCGACTCTTAGTGCCTTGCGTATACGACGATGTTTTTGAAAATGAAGAGTAGCCTCTCGAAGAGACTCGGTCGATTTTTACCGCGAACCGATCGAAAATCGGTTGTTTATATTTTTTCTATGTGCGCCCAAGGTGTGTAAAGACGCGGGCACGTGTGCGATACATGCCGTATACATGACTTATATATTGCGATATGCATAGCGCAAATGAGAAGCCACATTTTCTGCTGCATATGCTGTTGCTGCGCTAAGGGGGTGACCGACTTGAATTTCATTATGTATATGGACGATTTCATATGAAATCGAATGTCAAAAAATGGACAAAAGTAGAAGAAAATAATGACAGTAACAAAAAATCGTTATTCGGGAAAAAAATTTAGAAAGTATCCGTTGACGCTCAGAGAAAACTCTGTAAATTTTTCGGTGGTGAAAGTTCCAATCGAACTTGATGATATTTTGACTTTTATATTTCTCTTTATATAGTTGCTTTGTTCAAACCCCGTCTGATAATTTTCGAATTGAAACATACTTTACTCGTTCGCTTTTGCTATATATTGGTCCCTCTCGAATACAGCTCGAGCTAACTTTACGCACATGTTTACACTTTATAACGGTAATACACGATCAGTATACCGGCTGCTAAGTCACTGGGCGTAAACAGAGGAAGATCGTATTGTCCGCAGCGAGTGATTTTTGCGAAAAATTGGGAAAAATATTTCATCCAGTCAGCGATCGTGTGTTTGGCAGTTTCCGATTGCGTAAAACAATGGCACAAGAAAATCAAGACAGTTTGAGCGAATTCATGAGACTGCAAGATAAAGTCGATTGGGCGAAGGAAGATGAGCGACGTAAATTTTATCGTCAAGTTTATCCCATAATCTGTAATTGGCAGGGCCAACTTCCTAACCTCCGAAACATTTTTCGGACCGAAATAATCGAATGGCTTCTCGTGGAGTCTATTTCCGTGGGCTCCAGCATGAGTGCACAACCATTCGTTGACTTTGTGATCAATACCGGCTACAGAGATGAAGGTCGCGCCGAACATGGGTTGAGGCGCACCACACCAATTCATCATGCCTTTAAGAGTGGTGAAAGTTACATCATCTCAGATCTTTTTAAAATCTACGACAAATTCGATGTGAATTACACCGACGAAGATGGATTGTCGCATTTTCACATAGCCTGCGCGGTTGGCTGCCGCGACGCAATGAAGAAATTCCTCGAACACGGAGTAGATCCCAATCTCCCCGTGACAAAATCAGGTTACTCGCCGCTTCACTTAATTTTGAAAATCAGTAAGACAAAATAGACGAGCCATAGACGAGCAGCCACAACAGCACAAAGAGGCTGATGCCAAGCAACTCTGCGAGAAATTAGTGACGAGAAGATTTTTCCGGCAATGGGCGCTGGATTGTCTCTTGGAGTTGACGCGCACTATCGGCTGCCGGTTCTTTGCTGCTACATAATTATGGACGGACTGAATAACAAATATTTATTCAATATATGCTTGGTGGTTACGGACCAAAGCTCGTGATGGTGACATGATAATCTTGTGGTGGTCATCGTTGCCGATTTTTCATTTAATTTAAATAAATACGTTTAGTTTCGATTTCAATTTTTTTTTGTGTTCTCATTTTATGGCCTGACATCAAAAACATATTTTTCAACCATTAGATTTCACCGAGTCGTACCCGTGGATATACAAAATCGAATGCACACACCTCTCCTGCACGTTTAGAAGCTTCTTTTCTCTCTTTTGTTTTCGTTGTCGCGACCATTATCTCTGCGTCTCGCGCAACGAGGCAATTTTTTTAAATCTAATATTGAACGATACAAAAAATAAAACAAAATAAAATAAATAAAATGAAACAAGCCTCGCACATACTATATACGCAGCCCTTCCGAGCGGATTAGATCTCGGGATCGTCGACACTCTTGCCTTTAATTCCGACTGCGATACGAACTGTGGCTGTAAAAGTACAATCATCGACTCTCGGGCCTCATGTACGACGATGTTTTTGAAAATGAAGAGTACGCTGAAGAAAATAACCATATTGCGTCATGAAAAAGGCTTCGCTAGGCTCAAGAAGTACCAAAAATCTTGAGAAAAGCTAAAATTTGACCTAACAGAGTGCAAGAGTTAGTTGCGAAAAGCAGAGTTCATCATGCGTGTTTTTTTTTATTTTTTTGACGTATGATTGATTCATGCACATCAACTTCCAAGTGCGAACTTGATGCCATTTTGACTTTTACAGTAACTGTGCTCGAATCCTCTCTGATTATTTTTGAAGTGAAACTTCCTATTGAGGGACATTGGTTAGTGGATTACACCCCATGAAAAATCAGCGAGCGCGATAATTGTTGGAATCTCGAAAACGAAGTCTGTGCTGGCTCGATGGAATTGGTCGATGTTCGAGTCTATACTCACTCGCTTCCGCTGTGCTGCGACAACAGCTCGGCGCTAATAGTCGTGACTTGGGTAACAGTAACTCTTTCAAGCGAATAGGAGCTCGGGCTAGCCGCGTATTTCTCAGCAGCTTTGCGCGCGTGTTTATAACATCGAAGCGAGAGAACAGCAAAAGGTAGATCGCGTCGACAGCAGCCAGTGGTTTTTGTAAAAGTAGCGAAAAATACTTTGTGTTACAAAAGATTCTGCGTCGGGCGAGTGCGAAGAGCGATGGCCCGAGAAAACCAAAACCGTTCGAATCGATTGAACAAGAAAGTCAATCGGGAGATAGATCAAAGGTGTCACGGATTTCTACATAAACTTCATTCCTGTATGTGTTGTTACGAGCTCGAAGACGGCCCACTACCAAACCTCCGAGACATTTTTCGGCCCGAAGCCATCGATTGGTTTCTGTCGCGGTCTGCCAGTCGCATCAACGATACCGCTGAGACTCGGGGATTTATCAAATTCGTGGCTCGCACCGGCTACAAAGACAGGCCCGAAGTCGACGAAGATGGCAAATATCTGTTGCGTCGCACCACGCCGATACATCACGCGATGAGGAATCATAAAAGAATAATCCTCCCGGATCTTTTCAAAATATACGACAGATTCGATGTCAACTACACCGACGAAGATGGATTGACGCATTTTCACGTGGTCTGCTGGTTCGGATTTTACTTTTTCGTCCAGAGATTCCTCGATCACGGAGTAGATCCCAACTGCCTCTGGACAAAAACGGGCGATTCGCCGTTGCTTTTGGCCGTGAAGCAAAACTCAACGGAGGTGGCGAAGTTGCTGCTGATAAATGGCGAATTTAGCCAATGAGGCGGGAACGACACCTCTGCATTATCTTTGCCAGAGAGATCCTTCTGACAACGATCGTGACTTTATAAGGCAGTTATTTGAGCTCAGCGAGCAGCCGGTACGAATCGACGCCCGGGACAGATCGGGTAACACGCCGCTGCACGTGGCCATGTCGTACGGCCAACGATGGTTCGTCGAATTTCTGCTGCGAATAGGCGCAGATCCCAACCTAGTCAATGCCGAAGGATCGACGCCTCTGCACATCGTTTGCAAGGAAAATTGGCAATCCGGAGGCATCTTGGAGGTATTCTTCAACGTCGCCCAAGAAGTCGATCGGATGGTGCAGGTCAACGCGCAGGACGAGTCAGGCCGGACACCGCTACAATGGGCCGTGGCGAATCTCTTGCCGGACGTCGTCGAGCTTCTGCTCGATCGAGGCGCTGACTTGTCCAATTTCGTTTTCCCCATCGAGAGTTACATGGTCTCCGGATTCCAATTACCAAGAGATATAATTTTTGAGCTGGATTTCAAAATGATTTTGCCGCTTCACGCCATGGAGGTCGTGGAGCTTCTGGAGAGAAGAGGATACGAACTGGACCGAAGCGATGCCTTGACAATTATGCGAGTTTTCGAAAAGTTCGAATTGTTCGAGAAGTCCGATGATAATGGTTGGCACGACAAAGCGAAACAGAAGTTTGGGCGTTCGGGTCGGTCGCTCTACGACACGCTTCAATTGGCACCCGCGGAGGCGGTGATGCTGCTCAGGTACAACGAGTACGCGTACGGGTGGCGCTCGAACGCCATGTATCAGCTGCCGGAAGAGCTCGAAAAAGAGTGCGCCCAGCATCTGTGCGAGAAAGCGACGAGAAGATTTTTCCGGCAATGGGCGCTGGACTGTCTCGTGGAGTTGACGCACTATCGGCTGCCGATTCTTTGCGCAGAGATGATTATGAACTCGCTGAATAACGAAGATTTATTCAATATATGCCTGGCGGCTTCGAACCAGAGCTCGTGATAGTCTTGTGTTGGTCATCGTGGCCGATTTTTCATGCAAGTCAAATAAATACGTTCATTTTCGATTTCAATTTTTTTTTGTGTTCTAATTTTATGGCCTGACATACAAAAACATATTTTTCGACCATTAGATTTCACCGAGTTGTACCCATCTATATCTTTTCAGCACGTTTAGAAGCTTCTCTTCTCTCTTTTGTTTTCGTTGTCGCGACCATTATCTCTGCGTCTCGCGCAACGAAGCAATTTTTTTTAAATCCAATTTTACGACGATCGCCTTACACGGCACATAGGTACATACGCTCTGTGAATTTTTTTTATGATGAAATTCCGAACCGAACTTGATGATATTTTGACTTTTTTTTCCTCTCTACAGTAGCAGTGCCTACAAATGTCTCAGACCACCTTGGTGAATTTTTAAAGTACAACTTTCATAGATGCATTGGGTACGGAGAGTAAATCTGTAAAAAATTAGCAAGTGTAATACATTAAAACTTCGATAATTCGAAATCCTAAATACAGGCTATAATTTCGAATTATCGAAGTAAAAGAGAGGCCAAATTAAGTGAATTTCGAATTATAGAAAAACGCAGGTATTTTTATTTATTTAATATGTTAACACTATTCTAATTAAAATAAGAAGTCATTTTAGATTAAACGAACAGCTTTTGTTTTTTTCATTAGAAAGGATTCAACTTTTTGCATTGCTTCACTCGATACAGGAAGGATTTCTCAGGTACTTTTTTCTCCTTCTTCGTCATCATCATCAGATGATTCCTCATTCAATTTCCGTTTCTTATTAAAAATATCAGCAATTATTTCTTGCTCACTTAATATTAATACTCCAAATGTTGATACATTATCATCAACAGAAACATATTCTTCCCAATCCCAATTTTCATCAATTTCTTCAATTATCTGAATGAACGGTTCAAATGTAATTGTAAATCCAGCCTTTCCGAAACAATGACGTATCGTTTCAGGCTGGACTTTATTCCAGGGCTCGTATTCTGTTAAAATTGGATCGAGCGATGTCATCCAAGCCGCGGCCGATTCATAGTTCACACTACCACTTTCTCCGTAAAATTGATTGTACGCAACATCATTTCGAATTATCGAAGTAAATTTATATGGTATCTAGACTTTAAATGCAAAATTTCATTTGGAATTATCAAAATTTCGAATTATGATATTGTTCGAATTATCAAGGTAAATTAACATTGAATTTATATCGAAAACGCTAAAAACAGAGCTCGAGTTCGAATTATCGAAGTTCGAATTATCGAAGTTTTACTGTAATTGAAGAAATATCGTAGAGAGAGTCTTTTTGGCGCGCTGTGATGTAATTGGTCGAATCCCAATTGAGTCGATTCGCTCTCGCCTTTGCTACGGCGATTACAGCATCGCACACACGTTTATACTCTATATTGGTAGGGGTACGCTTATTATCATCGCAAGTCCCGACGCCACTGCGTAAACAGAGAAAGATCACATCGACCGTGGCAAGTGATTTTTGTAAAAATAGGGAAAAATATTGTTATAGTGTCGTAGGCGATTGTGTGTTGTGCGAGTGTAAAGAACGATGGCTCAAGAAAACCAATACTATTCGAACAAGATCGAAGAAAAGAGTCACGATTTTCTTCGTCATCTTTCGTATTCCATCAGAGATTACGAGGGACGACTTCCTAATCTCCGAGACATTTTTCGGCCCGAAGCAGTCGAATGGCTTCTTGCGCAGTCTGCGATAGAGAGCGATTACAACTTCGAGGACTTCGACCATGAATCCAACACCATTATCGACTTTGTAATAAACACCGGATACAAAGACGAGCCCAACGTAGATCAAGATGGCAAGCTATTATTGCGTCGTACTACGCCAATTCATCATGCGTCTAGAATTAATGAAAATTGCATAATTCGTGATCTTTTCAAAATATACGATAGATGTGATGTGAATTACACCGACGAAAATGGATTAACGCATTTTCACGTGGCCTGCAAGTATGGCTGTGATGAAATCGTCGAGAAATTCCTCGATCTCGGCCAAGTCGATCCTAATCTCCTCGTGCCAGAAACAGGTGACTCGCCGCTACACTTCGCTCTGAAGAAGAATAGAAACGAGACGGTTGTCGAATCGTTGCTGAGAAGAGGCGCCGCTCCTAACTTGGCCAACAAAGATGGAAAGACTCCTATACACATTATTTGCGAGTATACTTATGATGAAGTCACGGCTAATGTGTTATTGGGGTGCAGCGATGACAAACAAAAGATCCTCGACGCCGGGGACAAATTGGGTAATACACCGTTGCATATGGCCATGTACGACATGGATGAATGTTTCATGGAATTTCTGCTGAGACAAGGCGCCAATCCAAACGCGACCAACGACGAGGGATCGACACCTCTGCACACTGTTTGCAAGCGACGTTTGGAGTTCGTGGACATCCTGGAGATATTCTTCAAGATCGCCAAAGAAGTCGATCGGATGGTAGAGGTCGACGCCAAGGACAAGTTGGGTCGGACACCGCTTCAATGGGCCGTGGCGTATTTCTTGCCGGATGTCGTCGATGCTCTTTTCGATGGTGGCGCCGATCTGTCCAACTTCGTTTTCCCCACCGAGAGCTACATCGTCGATGGATTCGAATGGTCGGGAGTTGACTTTCACGATATCGTGTTTAAACTGAGCGCAGCGCCTCAAGCCATGGAGGTCGTCGAGCGTCTGCAGAGAAGAGGATACGAACTGCGGCGAAACGACGCCCTGGCGATTATGAAATTTTTCGATAAGTGGAGATTGTTCGAGTCGGCGGATATCGACGAATTTTGGTACGAGAACGAAGAGTTCGCGGCAAAGGCAAAAAAGATATTGATGCTCTCGGGTCGGTCGCTCTACTACGCGATTCGATTAGGACCCAAACAAGCGGCGAGAATACTCACGTACAGTGACTACATGGACTTGTGGAACCTGAAGGCGATGTATCAGCTGCCACAAGGACTCAGAGACATTTGTGCCAAGCATCTGAGCGAGAAAGTATCGAGAGAGTTTTTCCGACGATGGGCTCTGGATCCTTTATTAAAGCTGACAAACTATCGACTCCCGATTCTTTGCTGTGACAAGATCATGGATCAACTAATTAACGAGGATTTATTTAATGTTTGCTTGGCGGCTACGGACCAGAGCTTATGATGGTGATATTAGGATATTATGGGCTTACAGGTGGCTTACTTATTTTTCATTTTTCAATTGCAGTACTAGGCTGTAAAAATGAAAAAAAATTATTTTTTACAATAACACAAATGATAACCCTTTTCAATAGCCTATTTGAAAGTATTTTGTCAAGTTAGATACTAAGAAACAGTTAAGTACATTAATAGTGGGGCTGTTAATACTCAACAAAAGCTTTAAACATGTCTAAGCTACCTGTGGTAGAAATCCAAGACCAAGCATTAATCCATCGTAGCCCATTTGATTTCATTTTGTTCGATAGCCAATTGGCCATGGTCGCAACCTAAAGCTAGCCATAAGATGAACTGTAGCTACTCCTGTGTACAATTTTCTAGAATTTATGGCTAGTTTTTGGTTGCGACCATGGCCAATTGGCTATCGAACAAAACGAAATCAAATGGGCTGCGATGGATTAATGCTTGCTCTTGGATTTCTACGACAGGTAGCTTAGACATGTTTAAAGGTTTTGTTGAGTATTAACAGCCCCACTATTGATGTACTTAACTGTTTCTAAGTAGCTTACTGGATAAAATACTTTCAAATAGGGTTTCGAAAAGGGTTTTGTGTGTTCTTAAAAAAACATTTTTTTTCACTTTTATAGCTTAGTACTGTAATTGAAAAATGATAAATAATTAAGCCCCCTATTAGACCTTAAGTCATTCATTGTTGCCGATTTTTAATTTAATTCAAATAAAAATTATTTTATTTAGTTTAATTTTATATTTCGCTTCGATTTGAATTTTTTTGCGTTCTAATTTTGAGGCTTTACATCAAAAACATATTTTTTGACCATTGAAATTCACAGAGAACCACCCATATAGATCAGTGTACGCGCACATCTGTACCTATGGTTAAACAAGATCGAACGCACACACCTCTGCTGCACGTTTAGAAGCTTCTCTTCTCTCTTTTGTTTTCGTTTTCGCGACCATTATCTCTCGCGCAACGAGGCGATTTTTTTAAATCTAATTTCGCGACGATCGCACGTACACCGCATATAGGTACGTACGCACTCTTTGTGCAGCGTTGCAATTTTTTTTTAAACATTTTTTTCTCCATCTCTGGCTCGGTTTATACCGAGCGTCGTCTCGTCTCGGGGAAAGAAACGAAAACCGATGACTAATCCGTGCGAGAGGCAATATTTCGTATATCTCTTGTTCGTTTAAAAAGCTGATCTTTACACGTGTCTCCTATTATTTTTTTACTCTTTCAGCTTCTGCTTCTTCTTTTTGATCATTTTTTTTTCATATACTTCGTCCGCAGCGCGAGGATCTTTGAAAAATCGAAGGAACGAAGAAAAAAGGAAGGAGCAGCAAATAAAAAACCTCATTGAATGGATACGAGACGACGAGGCATTCCTTATACACACACACTCGCAGCAAGAATATTCTGAATGCCATTAATAGAGCCATGATAAAAATATTAAACGCGCGACCGTAGAGTATATTCAAAGATTTGCGAATGAAAAATTACCAATGCAAAAATACGCACGGTCTCGGATGTCTCTCGCACAAAACACACAGAAACGCACAATCGTGCATGAATTTATTAACGACGAAAAAAAAACTCGGGGTAGGCAAAAAATCGGATATGCGAGCGTGCGGATACACCGCAAAATTCGGGCTGATTTCATCATCGTTTGGGTAAAAATTGAATAATCTCGCGAGAATACAGATAGCAACGAGTCGCTATATAATGTTGTTGTCTTTTTTTTTTTTTTTTATTATTGCACGAGATCGAGCCGCGCGCGAAAGTGAATCACTCTCGTTTCTCGGAAAACAGATTGACATTATATATCCACTGTATACGCGCGTGTACTGTAACTCTCGCATACGCGCGAATTTATATCTGAATCATTCGATTTTTTTTTTGCGCTACTGCTGCGGTCTGCGCTTAATTGAGCATCGTCGCGTTTCCGTTCTCCTACTCCTCCTTTATTTTTCTCGTTTCCACTTGACTATTCATCTCGTACGGTATTATAATATACACATCGCGCGATCGAAAAAGAAGAAAAAAATACGTTATTATAATATTCATTTTTATAATATACACGTCTCGCGCGATCGGCATACATATTCAAATCTCGAGTCGAGCCTCGACCAACTACTACTACTACTACTACTACTACAACTACTAAAAAAAAAACACCGTCGACGCATTAACGATATATTATAAATATTTTTTTCAATACACGCATATGTGTAAATCTACGGGGCAGGAATATGATAAAAAATCAATAGTATAATTGCATTAATCGTTGACCGTAAATTCAAGGCTATACGTGTGTGCGTGTCGCGTTCGAAATTTCCGCGTGCGTCCTCGACTCCATATACTATACATACTACTCCGCGCGCACGGTGTGTTGCAGCACAGACACACACGTGTCTGTACGCGCAAAAAACAGGTTTTCGCGACTCCCCACCGCATCGTGCATATAGCAGTACGCGCGTTTTAATTCTTCGCCCGCGATACCGTAAACCCATGTGTGTGGCTTTATGGGGCAGCATATGTAATACTCTCTCCTCCTTCCCTATACCGCTGCTGCTGCTGCACCGCACATGCTGCAATTGCCCCGGTGAAAAGCGGAGCTACTCCTACGTCACGGGAAAGGATCGTGACGTAGGTATAGTTACATTGTGTATACCGATCTTTTCACTTTCGATCGCGGACATTTTCATTTTATTATTATTATTTATTTATTTATCGAGTGGTATGGCACTTTATGGGTTAAAAAAAAATTTATATTTCCGTGTGCTCGAAAACTGCATTTACAATAAGTATAATGTGTGTGTGTTTATCCCACTCGTCGAAATTCCCAGCTTCTCTCTCTGCGGAAGTGTGTCAATGTCAAGAGATCGCAGAAATGTAATTTTTTTTGTGTGCGCGTGTGCATGCTACTTCCAAGGCTTTCCTCTCTCTCTCTCGAAAGATCGGAAGTCATAATACGCCGAGGCCTCTCTCTCTCTCTCCCGCCTCCCGTATATAAGATTTGGCTTATCGTGTGCCTCGAGAGGTGTTTGTGTGTGCGTTTTGTTCGCCGTTTATTATACCTCTTTATACACAATCGTCATTCGCGCATACGCGATGATTCATCGTCGGCATCTCGACTATATCGAGTTAAATGAATGAATGAATGAATGAATGAAAAAATACAGATTTCCTAGAAATTGCGCGCGAACTCGTTGAGCTATTACGAGCTCTTTTGCTCGACGAGACGACAACAACAACGAGAGAAAAAAAATCGCGCGGCAGGTAGGTAGGAAAACCGGAAGTCGTTATCGCGGGCGTGCGTGGGTCGAGATTAAACGAACGATTTGATTGTCATTCGATCGGCATGTTTCTCCCTCTCGACTTTTTTTTTGGTGGCTTCCGTTGATCTATCCGATCGATCGGTCGAGAAGATACATTTGCGTCGAAATCATGAATTTATCGAAATGTATAAAATTGTAATGAAAAAATTATTTTTTATACTTGCTAATATAACTTTGAATCCGTTCGATACTTTTAACATGCAGTTAACAAAGCAACATGTTTAATTTTTATCATACATCTTATGATATATGAACATTTGAAAAATTCAAGCTTATCTTTGGGAGTTTGAAAGTTGTGAAAAAATTAACATAAATTTTATTGGCAAATACTTAGAAGCGAGGGAATATCATACTAACCAACAAGCATATTTTCTTGAGTACAATTTGATTCAAAGATATTATTGTAATTACAAAAACAAATTTCCTCAATCCGTTAGAAATGCTGAACGTAAATGGCCTTATGACTAAAAACAGACTATTTAAAATGTTTAGAAATACTATTATATAAATAATATTAAGAGCATTTTAAATAACAATTTAATTGTTGTCAAAAAAATTTAGATCGGTCTTCGACCACTTTAAAAACCATATAATGTTGCTTCAGACCCGTACCGCTAGATGGCGAGTATCTCTACGGCTAAATCTGCAAGTGGTTAAACCAAAAATAATGGTATAAGTCAAAACAGGGGTCTTGTTTCTACTAATCTTGTTTTTTCATGGTTCTAATTTTCTACTCGAAATCGAAAATTTTTCAAACGGCAGATTCCACCCGTCATTATCAACAAAATTCATACACGCGCAACAATACGTAAATTGAAATCGAACAAAAAAATATTAAAATCGATACGAAAGACCGGAAGCCGCGATCGGCGATAAAAATAAATGAATCAAGTGCCCGCCGTGCGCCGAGATATATATATCATTGGCACATTATTAACGTCACGCCGCGCACAGGTGTAACGAGATTGTACATCATTATATTATTAAGATTCGATCGCTGTTAATAATATAATCGACGACGGCGACACGCGTACATATACGAATCAATATTCTCGGTAATTTACGTACATTTTTTGCTCCTCTCCTCTCTCTCTCTCTCTCTCAATTTCGCGAGTGCGTAATATAAAATATAAATCGGTGATTCACCATCGTCGTACGCATGCGATCGCGATCGCTATCCGCGAGCGAGCAGCAGAAGTACCGATTAAATTCCAAAAAGAAAACGAAGCACGGCTGCAGCAACTACTCACTACTGCTCCTCTCGTTCCCTTCATTAATCCATGGGGTTCGCGCTACCACTAATTGAGGAATTTTTGCCCAGCGTCGATTTAAAGTATGCATTGAAACAATTGCTTTATTTTTAGCCTCGTTATTATTACGAGTACGGATGAGTCTCTAATAAAAGCCAAGAAGCAGAAGCAGCTGTTGTTGTTGCTGCTGCTGTTACGCCGGCGTATTACGCATACACCCAATTCGTTCGTTTCTTTTTTTCCCGAGTTTTATGAATGAATCGAGCTTACGCGCGTAATACACATAATATGTGTCATGTATATAGCTCTCTTTTCATTCAATGAAATATACAACGAAGCGAGAACGCGTGTCGTCGACCCGCGCGCGCGAACACGACGCATCACACACAGAACATATAGCACAGTTATACCGATTATAGTATATAGACGCCGGGCTCGAACACACACTCACACGTAATTGCGTCGAAAGAAAAGGAAAATAGATCCGCGTAGTCTTCGGATTTCCACACCGTTGTATATATACGCCGAATTACATCTATACGTATGAATGAAAATTTTTTTCTTTTCGGTGTAAAGAACGAAGAAAAAAAGGCTATCGATGCGGTACACTCGCCCAGAAGGGACGATATACTTATTATTACTCGAGCTTTCCAAAAAGTCGCGAGGATCGATGTTCATTGAGAAATAATAAAGAGGAGAGTAAACTGCACGTCTGTATGTGCGTATAAGTGACAATTCAATGGCCGATATATATAGACGCTCGCGTTTTGCCCGAGCAACAGGTGGTCTTTACCGACTGACACAGGTATATTATACTGTATATATCCTATATGTATACACGATGTTCCGCGAAGAAATGTAGACTCGCGGGGGATGACGAAGCGATGAGTCACACACTCACCGCAGGTAATATACAAGCAGTCTCCTCTCTCCCTCCCTCTCTCTCTCTCACCTTTCCCTTCGAGCCGGAGAAAGACCATCTCTTCTTCTTTTTATATTACCTTTTTTTCTCTCTTTTTTCGGAATCCCGACGATCGGATGCCGAGGTATTTCGTGAATGGCGCTCGGCCACGAGGCGCTAGACACACGTTTATATACGAAGAAGAAGATGAAGATCGAACTCATAGTATAGAAAAATAATGAATAAAAAAATAAAAGAGAAATCCTTGAGAATCGGAAAATTTGAATACGAATCTCGTTATCGTAATTCTCCGGGACATTTAAAATTGCCAATGCGTTTATATATATTGCACTTTGCCAACGTGGCTATACTTTTAGTAATATATCGATTATGACTTGAAAAATCTGTGAATGAAAACAACAGCAAACAGTTTCTGCTGCTGCTGATGCTGCGTAAACGATAATTGATTTATAAAGCCCACAGCGCGCGAGATGTAATTATGTATACGCAATAGCATCATCATTATGGAGAGCTGCACAGACGATCTTGAAACATACGAGCATTCATATTACGAGCTGATAATTTTTTAAAAGCCGCATAAACAATATGCGCGGATAGTAATAACAGCGGTTATTTTTGTAATTTAGCGCCGCCGCGGCGATATTCTGTTGTCATCCCGTGAGAGAGAGAGGTGGGATTGTCTCGCCAAAGGCGCTTGTAGTACAGTTGTATTGTTTTCAAATTATGTCTCCGCGACGGCGCGTCCAACGTAATAATAAAATACTACGAGGTATGTAAATAGCGTGGCGAAGACGCGCCGTCGATTGTATTGTGTGCGCAACGAGCGTGATTAGACAGAAAAAAACAATGTTAAGTGCGAATGAAAATTTCAAGGTAATTTATGGCACGCGTTGAATTTTGAACTTGGAATGCTATGTCGTAGCCGCATCTATTTTGGAAAGTTACAAACAACTTTATTATTGCAAGGATTTTGGGGAATTTCGAATGAAAAATCTTGGCTATCGCGTCCAAAAAACCCATATCATTTCGTTTGTTGTTTTTGCCATATTCGAAAACAGAAAATTTTTTTTTTTAATTATGTTTTTTATGCTCTCTCCCAGATGACTCAACCACATATAGAGACGATAACATGCGAAATCTGAAAATTTACCCTCGAATCTCCGTGGATTCGTGGGGTCGTAACTTTTCTCCTCTTTATCTATAATTTTTCCAGACGCGCTCGTTTACGATTGGCGCTAATTTTTTGGGTAATTCACCTTTAAAAAAAGACCAGATACCGATACATTCCCATGTGTTACACATAAGTTAAAGTGCGCAATACACACATGCTTCAAAAATTCCGCGAATCGAACGAAAACACGTATCGACATGTTTCTGCGTGCGCGCGAGATTAATTGTTTCGCTCTACTTTATGAATTATTCCGAAGATATTACAACGATATATATATAGCGCGCAATGTAGCATATAGTATCGGTATCGTATTGTATACACCTCAAAAAATCTTATCTTAACGATCACCGGATGTTATTCGGAGTTTTACATACACGTGCTATTTTATAATAATATGGGTCCGCGCACAAAAGCGCGCGCGTCTCTCTCTCTCTCTCTCTCTCTCTCTCTCTGTTTTTAAGCTAAAGGCTGCTATATGCTTCTTCAGCTCTTTTTTTTTGTCAGAGTGTATCGCGTGTGCTCGTATGCAGCTCCCGCCCGATGAGTCATCCACGAGTTCTATATACCTGCGCGCCTCGAGAGAGCAACACGTGCGAATCGTGGTTGCATTCTTGACTTTCATCCGACTCTTTTTTTTCGTTCTTTGCCCGAGGTGGTACAATACGCGTAACAAATATGTCGCGCGCAGGTACCTTTTTATATGTAAAAAACCGGAAGATGACAGAAATTTCCATAAATACGCGTGTATCGGAGAGATCGTATTAATTTTGAGATTGAACCGGCGTGATCCGGAATAAATCAACAAAGTCGATTGACACATAAAAATTATTCGATTATACGGCACATTAGTAAGGCTTTTACTTTTAGATTATAAAGTATTATCTCACTCTGACGTAGATTTGTATATTTTGGTTGAGAACTGGGCCATTAATTAGATAATCGTTTATTGATTTTTCTATCGTGTTCAACTATACTTAACAGAGAAGATAGTTCAAATTAAAACGTTTATACGGAGAATAATATTGAATCGAATGCTAATGTTTTTAGCGAAAAACCCCAGATTCAAGTGATGGGGGTTTTCTGCTACGTTTATGCTAAATATTACTATGAAACTATGTTATTTTTGTAACTCTGTACTTCGGAAATCCTTTCAAGCTTTTATAAAAATTCCGACTTTACATTATAAATTTTTACCGATAAAAATGTTAGAATTTATTATAAGAAGAAAGAAGAATAAATAATTCATTTTTGTTCACATTGTTTCATTTAGATTATAAGATTTTGAATTTTGTCAATTTTCGAGAAAACCCATCAGATGGACTCACAGTCAAATATCGCAGAAGGAGAGAATAGTCAAAGAGCCTCGCTATCATAAGTAGAGTAGTGAGTTCAGTCGCAAGCGAGGAATTGAATTTCTCAGTTCGTTAGTGTTTACAAATAATATCAGTGAACGAGTATAGGTTAAATCGATTTCAAGTGCTGTCTACTGGAGGGCGTTTAGCCTCGAATATTTTCTCAAATTATCAGTAAATAACTATAATGAAGCAATGATGGGAAGCAAAGAGGATACAGTTAGGTAAACATTTTTTTTTTTAATGTCATGATGTTTTTTTAAGCGAATATTTCATCAAACTTGACTATTCTTCAGAGTGAAAGAAGAGCCGAAGGAAACTTGTCCAGATGTAAGCAACGGTTATAATTTTGATTCGATGGACTCTTGCGAAGTCAAAAACGTTAAAACATGCAAAGTTTTTAAATCTTCGGTGAGCGATTAAATTATTATGTTGAATTATGTTTGGTTTTATCACTATCGTAAAAAATTTTTAAACAATTGTGATTTTAGGAACATCGTGTGAATGAGGTTATGGCGCTACAGGAAAATTTTGATGAAAAAATATTTGTTGATATAGAATGCAAACATGTGAAACTTGAAGAGACGTCTCCATCAACAACCATCTGCAAAAATGAGTATCAGATTTATTCATCCGTTATTAAAGTAGAAAAACAAATTCCGACTAGTTACTTAAAAGAAAAAAGTTTATTGATTTTGATAAAAAAAGATTTCGATTATTATAATAATTGTCTCTTTAAAATAAATCCTCGAATGAAAATTGTAGAGTATAAAGATAAGAAAATATTCAAAAGAACACCTCAAACCAAATACTCTCACCAGTGTAAAATTAATCGAAAACTTAATGAAGAAAAAGAAGAAGAAGTGAGTTTAAAAAGACATATCAACAAAAAGTATAAGAGCATTAGAAAATATGAATGTAAAATTTGTCTCAAAGTATTTCGTTACCAGAGCTCTTTCAAACGTCACGTCAACGTAGTACATGATCGGATCAAACCCTTTGAATGTGAGATTTGTCACAATTCATTTGGAGTAAGGAGTAGCCTCAGAATTCACATGAATACAGTACATAATCGAAGCAAACCCTTTGAATGTGAGATTTGTCACAGATCATTTGGAAGAAAAGGTGACCTGAAACTTCACATAATTACAGTACATGATCGTAGCAAACCCTTTGAATGTGACATTTGTCACAAATCGTTTGGTCGCAAGGATAGTTTAAAATTTCACATAAATGTAGTACATGATCGTAGCAAATCCTTCGAGTGTGATATTTGTCACAAATCATTTGGCCGCAAAAATTATCTCAAAATTCACATAAATTCAGTACATACTGGGAGCAAACCCTTCGAGTGTGATATTTGTCACAAATCATTTGGATACACAAGTGTCCTCAAAAATCACATAGATTTAGTACATAATCGTATGAAACCCTTCGAGTGTGATATTTGTCACAAATCTTTTGGATTGAAGGGTGACCTCAATAAACACATAATTGCAGTTCATGATCGGAGTAAACCCTTTGAGTGTGCCATTTGTCACAAATCATTTGGACAAAAATGTCAAATTCAACGTCACGTGAGCGCAGTACATGAACTTAATAAACCCTTTGAATGTGAGATTTGTCACAAATCATTTGGACAACAAGGTACCCTCAAAGTTCACATCAATGCAGTACACGATCGTAGCAAACCCTTCGAGTGCGATACTTGTCAAAAATCATTTGAACAAAAATATTACCTCAAAACTCACATTAGTGCAGTACATGATCGTAGCCAATCTTTCGAGTGTGAAATTTGTCACAAATCATTTTCATTTAAGGGTAACCTTAGTAAGCACATAAATGTTGTACATAGTAAGAAAAAAACCTTCGAATGTGAAATATATCACAAATCATACGGGTGCCAGAACTACCTTAAAACTCACAAAATGTAGTACATGATCGCAGCAAATCCTTTGAATGTGACATTTGTCAAAAATCATTTATACAAAAAAGTAACCTCAATAAACACATAAATGCAGTACATTATCGTACAAACCCATTTGAGTGTTAAATTTGTCTCGAATCATTAGTAAAAAAAACGAATCTTATTCAACATATAAAAGTAATACACGGTCGTAAGAAATCCTTCGAGGGAGTTTAGCCACAAATCATCTGGTTACCAGAATAAACCCGAAAAGTATAAAGTGACTGTACATGAAAGGAGCAATCCTTAAAAATATGAGCTTTGTCCGTAACCATTTGGACGCATTTAAGACAATCACATGAATACACCACATAGTTTTAAATAATGTATCTCATAAATTTCCTTCAAGTTCGTAAATTAAAATAAAGTATTTCAAACTAATATTCATTCTTGGCAGCGAAAATTTTATTCTAACCTCTCTCTCTCTCTCAGATATTACTAATTAAAGTTAATTACGTGTTTGTTTCGAATTTTACTGGAATTATTCGTAAACTTTGAATCAGATAAACGCGAATACTGAAAAATGGAAAATAATCCATCTTTACAATAATTCGTATTTAAAATTACGTAAACAAAAATATTCTACGTTAAGAAATGCAAAAATGATTTTTCGTTTCGAGATTAATAATTGTATTAATAATTATCCAAAAAATGCATGCATTGTTTTTACAAAGTATTCAACTTTAATTATATTTTAATAAACATTATACACATAAATTCAACTCGAATCTGTATAAGCTAGTACTTTGTCTATACATACATTTTGCACAAAAAATACACGATTTAATTTTTCGAATGTAATATTTTTGTATTCTGAATTCGAAAAAACGAAAAATCAAAATAATGAATCGTGAATCATCTAAACTAGTAAACGCTAAACTTTTTTGAAGTCTACAATCGAAGTGATCCTCTTCCGGCCACGAGAATTTTTTTTTCTAATTTTCTAATAATCTTCTCATCGTTTACAAGCGCCACTCACAAACTTCCACCTGTTGACCTTGGTCGGATGCACAACAATAGTGTCGTCCATATACAACGTGCACACTACTTATAATCCAGCGGTACCAATCCATAATTCTGCCGCCGCTGCTCTCCCGCGTATATATCTATTATTCCCAGAAAGGTTTTCCAATCGCGGACTCGACTAATGTACACGCACGTCGAGCGCGAGGCAGCAGCAGTGGTATATACGTCGAGGCGCTTGCGAATGTAAAAAAAAAAAAATCAAGTTGCCTCTGATTTCCGAGAAAAAGATTACTCATCGCTGTTGCCGCTGCTGCTGCTGCTGCACCACACACGTGCGCGCGTACCGGACTATATAGTGCATACGGTACGAAGTCCTCCTTCTCTTCTCTCTAAGCCGCCGCATACACACCTCTATATACGTTGTTGTTTTTTTTCTCCTCTCCTTTCGTAAATGTGCATACGTCTGTGTATCTCGAGTTACGCTGCGAGAGTACGCAACGGAGTGCGGAGGGGAAAAACACGAGAGATTGAATTCACGGTATTGTACGCTATTTGGGAAAATACTATAACTAAGTTGTTTCGTCCAAAATGATAATATAATACAATCGTAATCATCGTGACTGTGACATTTTCGAAACGCGATATACATACGACTGAAAACCCAAAACACACGACACAACAAGGCGCATTACCATATCTAAAGAAAGTATTAATCCCATGACAGCAGTGTATGCTATGTACAGGAGTGTTTATGTGTGTGTGTACAGCAACCACAGCGTCAAAGATCAAAAGAAAAACAGCAACAGCAGAGAACCCCCAACCCCCTTGAGGCGACAACCCGCGATTATTATTATATATTGAAGTAGTATAGTAGTGGCCGCAACCGATGATAGGATGATAGCTGCTCTGTGTGTTGTCTGATGCTCACCGTACACCGCAGATACAGATAGATAGAGAAAGGCGTATAATGCGCTATTCGAATTTATATGCGGACATCAAACTTCGGGTTAGGGTATTATTATTTTATAAGCATGTGCAAATATAATACAAGGCGCTCGCGCGCGCACGGGTGTGTAATCCGAAAATTACGGAATTATCCCCGGCCCCCGACGACGACGACGACGACTCGAAACGTCTCTAATCCAATCCCCCAAAGTCCTCCAATTTCCCGGCTAATTTCCATTCATGGTGTGGGCCTCTGCTGCTGCTGCAGCATCGCCGCAGCATCGGTACACGTTATATTATACATAGGCCAATTATCGACTCGCAGACACAGACACCCCCTGCGAGCTGATCGTGAGCCCGTAGAAGGAGAGAAAGAAATGAAAGAAAGAACGTGCCTAAGCGCACTCCCAAAGGATGTGTGTAAATATACACAAATCGCGAAACCTACCATTTGCATCGGTAAATTAGATTGGTCCTGCTGGCCGCCAAGCCAAGCCATGCCAAGCCGAGAAGAGATGAGATGAGAGGGATGAAGGAAAGCTGGTCTCGGATTTCGAGCCGAGAGAAATGTATATACGCGGTGGTGCGGACGCTGGCGTGGAGGGAAAAGGGGGCGGTATTTTATTATTATATACACGAGGCAAATAGATTCGACACGGTGAAAATCTTCGAGATTGGACAACGATCATCCTGTATAATCCCTTTGGTGCTGATTTATGAATTTATTTACGTTTTTTGAATACATTTTTCCTCGATAATTTTGTTGCGTACGTTCGATTTATTCAACTTTTTTTCTTCTCTCCACTCACTCTCTTCAATTGGCCATAAGAAACGTGCGTATATATCTTCGAGGCCTGCGCATAAGTGCAGCCCAGTTAAAAGCCCGCGTTACGACCCCGTTGACCGTTTTCGGCTCGTTGTGTGTCGTTTCTTCTTTTTTTTTCAGTTAATACGAAGAAGAAGCGAAGAAGCCGAAGAAGTAAAAAAAAACCAACGACCTTATCCTTCGCTATATGTACGTCGAGCGGTAATTCGGTATTTTATTTTTTTTCTCTCTCTCTCTCTCTCTCTCTTCTCTCTCCTTCCTCCATTCTGTATACGCGAATTGTGCGCAGCAAAATTAAATCATCAAAATAAGTTCACGACAAAACGATCTTACCGAAACCGTTTTTCGACGTACACGTGCGCGCGTCCGAGTAATGAAATTATGTTGTGCTCAACGACGACCGATATTCCGCGAATCGGTTGTTACCGGTCTGAAAAACATCATTGTGAGATAAAATTTCAACAGGGAGCACAATGATTTATGCGCCATATACGCAATATACAAATGCAAAGTGTATACGGCGGAGACGAGAAGAAGAAGAAGAAGAAAAAGAAGAAAAAAAGGAGTCTCTCGATTATATATTTTAATGAGAATGAACTTGTAATAACGATGAATTTTTATTATCGAGTGGCCGCGCATTATCATAACGAGTCGAATGATTTCGAATCGAAATGAATGAATCGAAGAAGATGAATAAACGAGCTCATCACGTACTATTAGAGCCATCTCACGGAGAAGCTCCAAAAGTACACCTGCTTCAGGCTCAACGGCTACTTACAATACCGATCGTCGATAAGATCGCCATCGAATCGGTAACGAAGTTACCTCGTAACTTCTCCTCTCGCGTCTCTACACATACCATGTGTGCGCGGCGCGATTAATGCAATTCGTGCATTATCGCATCAACCCCCTCGCGGCTCGAGTCGCGCATCATCCTAACGTTGTTATTATGCTCGAATCGCGTTATACAGCACGGCGCCTCCGTGTACTCGGCCCATTGTAAAAAAACCCTTATATATTTTTTATACAGCTAGCAGTCACGATCGTGTGTGCAGCACACAGTAGTTAACCGACGAGGCGCATATATATAAGTTGTTGTACTTCGCGGATCTCTCTCTCCACGCCCCGTTGATTTTTTTATTATACACGTATAATCAAGCACGTCTCGTGTGCGTGTCGTGACGTGCGTTTGTGCTTCGACCCGACGTGTTTGAGTGCTTGTATCATTTTCTGCACTCGTTGTCAACAACGACAACAACGACAAAGACAACCACTGATTCGAGGGGGTTTTGAATTTTTTATTTTTCTTTCTCGGCTCGTCTTTCACGGGTATTATTATCATCGGAGAATCGAGGCAAGATGACGAGATCTGGTCAACAGTCAGTTTGACTGATAACAGAGCTTCCGTCCGTATACATAATATACACACATAGATCACGAAGAGATCTCTCGAAAGGTGAGCTGTTGCAAGATTACACACACACACCTCTCTTTGTTTAGCAATTTTTTTTTCTCTCCATTGCGATGCTTCGCCTGTTCTAGTCTTTGATCTCGTGTATTATAACGTGGGTAAAAAAATACCTATACTACTTTGCGCGAGACTCTTTGAAGGTTAAGTCCGCAAAAAAAAGAAGAAATACGATTGTTTCTTATTTGTTCTTTTTTCATATTTTTTACCCACGCTGTCCGAAATGACGTATTTATTTGGAAAATTGACTTTTCAAAATTTTACAGGTGCGTTTGACAGGCGATCCTCGTCGTCCTAAGCATCAGCAGCATCATCATCGTCATGTCCCAAGTGACGGTCGCATCGCCGCGGATGGAGCGCAGCATCCACGAGATGCTCAAAGATGCCCCGTCGCTGAACGAGAGCGAGGCCGCTGTGCTCTCAGGCAGCACCCCGCCGCCTCAACTTCCCAATAACAATCGTGGCGGTGGTAGCAACTCGTCCAAGGAAAATCAGCCCCAGAGACCGGCCACGATGAATCTCTGCGCGACGTACGCCTCGGGATCATGTTGGTTTTCTCTTTCTTTACATTAAAAAAATTTTTCACTTTTAGTGGGTATTTACAAAAAATGTTAGTTACCGTAACATAAAGCTGATTTGTTAATAATAACGATACTTTTTTGGTCTTGAAAAAAGTGTTTCCTCGTTTTTTTAGTAATAATTGATTGAAAAACTGTTTGAGCTATGTTACAATGTGCCAAAATTAGTTGTAACTTTAAAAAATCAACCGTTTGTTACCGTAACTATCAGAGTTTGTGATATACAAATAATATTTTGCTGTCGGATAAATTGGCCAATTAAGGTCACATAAGAGAAATGTTTACTTTGTTCCCTTATGGAAATCATGCATAACATTGAAAAATTTTTCTAAAAATACCTTTTGATTGAAAAAATGATAACATTTCGAATAAATACTTACATTTGATAAAAAAAGCTAATAATATTTCTCAAGAAATGATTGAAGTTAAAAAATGAGAATTAACTAGTTATGATGAGCCATCAGTGTCCCTAAACATTGAACTTGGTTACATTTTTATTTTTGAGACTTGAATCTTCTGTCATTATTAATAATCGAATTAAAACGTTTGAATAAATATAAATAATTGGATGGGCCATTTTCCTGGCTATCGTAGTTATGGCTATGGTAGAGTTATAAATCGTATAAAAAAGAAGATTCAATTGTTAATAGTTAATAAGTAAAGCTATACATTTTTTTCTATGCCATCCGGTAATTAAAATTACATGATTATTACTTATGTCACACAGTGGAAACGACCCCGTGCTCGCCGATGTCGAACGGCAGCAGCGGCGGCGAGCACGTGCGCAGCAACGCCCAGAGCAAAATCGAGACCATCAAGAACTGGAGCATCTCCACGTACAAGTGCACCAAGCAGCGGGTCTACGAGACCTTCGGCAAGACGTCGCGCACCATCGACTCGGAGCTCGAGCAGCAGATCGAGCTGCTGCGCGATACCCAGAAGAAGTACTGCAATCTGCTGCGTCTCGCGCGCGCCTTCGCCTCGCACTTCGGCAACGTCGTGGCGACCCAGTCGGCCCTGGGCGAGCAGTTCGCCGAGCTGGCCCAGAAATCGCCCGAGCTCCAGCAGGAGTTTCTGTACAACGCCGACACGCAGCGAAATCTGCAGCGCAACGGCGAGACGCTCCTCGGCGCGCTGAACTTCTTCGTGTCGTCGGTCAACACGCTGTGCAACAAGACGATCGAGGACACGCTGCTCACGGTGAGACAGTACGAGGCGGCGAGGGTGGAGTACGACGCCTACAGGACGGATCTGGAGGCGCTTGCGTTGGCCGCCAAGACGGATCCGGCGAGTCTCGCGAGGCTCGAGGAGGCCCAGCAGAGCTACGAGCTGCACAAGCAGAACTTCGAGAAGCTCAGGTCGGACGTGTCGATAAAGCTCAAGTTTTTGGACGAGAACAGAGTAAATATATAATCAGATTATTCTCTTCTTCTTTTTTTTCAATTTCGATTCCCATGTCCGACAGAAATCCATTTAATGAATAACTATTATACACTTTACATACTTAAATAAAACTTCGAATTTTGGACACATACAACCGAAACTCAATTACCAAAATTAACTCAAAACCAGTTGAAATTTCTAGTCAGACGGAATTAAAATTATTATGAAATTAAAATAATTTTTTGAAATAATCTTTTATATAAAAACTTTTATTTATAAAGTTTTATGAAGTTTTATAAAATCTTTTAAGTACTTTTAAACACTTATATTTAATTTTTAAATTAAAATTAAAACTTGCTGAAATATTCAGCCAAATATTGATAAAAGTTTTACAACTTTGAACATTTTTTATAAACTTTTTTAAATTGTAATATATGGTTGGATTTTGAAAACTCATTTCCGTAGGAGCATTAATGATTTTGTTCATTTGTTAATTGATAGATCAAAGTGATGCACAAGCAGCTGCTGCTGTTTCACAACGCCGTGGCGGCTTACTTTTCCGGCAATCAGCTGGCCCTGGACGAGACGCTCAAACAGTTCAGCGTCAAGGTCAAGTCGCCCAACTCGTCGCTGCCCTCCTGGCTTGAGCAGCAGTAAAAGCGAAACCCCTCGTGAATTTTTTGATAAAAAAAACAAAAAACAAAAGAATTGCATATCTACGTTGCTTGGATATTATTATAAAGTGAAAGAGATAGAGAGAGAGAAAGATACGAAGAGCTAGATATATAATTGTTTCGCTGCAGATATTTCTAAAATTATTATTATTAATCCACGCGGTTGGCACTAAAATGTATTGCGTCCCTTGTTTTTTGCGTGCCGGCCAAGTTTCTATATATTGATATACTCCAAAGCGAGGAAATTCTGTACAAAACTTACGTAGTAGACTGTATTTGCGTGTAAGTGAGTCCGTATGGATAAAAGAGAAGGCGAAAAAGAAAATCAATTCGTATCGTTTGTTCTTTCGTTGAAAAAATATATATTATACGAAAAAAAACGCCTGTAATGCCTCCACATGACTATACTTCCTCGACGACGCGAAGAAAAAATTATAATTAACGTTATTATTGATGCACCGACGAACGAATCGATACGATGATTGATGATTATAGTATAATACCGTTATGATGATTGACACTTGCATTTATATTAATTGTGTACAACGGAGGCAGTCGCGGCACTAGTCAAAATAATTAATTATACATATTGTGTACAAATAAGATAGGAGGGGATCACGACACGAATTTGTGTAGAAAAAAAGGGAGAAAAATGAATTGATGAATCGTTTTTAAGCGTAAAACTAATCTAATCGATGTTTTTTCAAAGATTTAAAATGTACAAACCCTTCATGATCTTTTTTGCTTTTACCTTTGAAACGATTGTCAACGATTACTCCAACTGGAAGTCTGCATTTTAATTAAGAACAATTATTTCTTAGTTATTCATTGTATAATTTTAGGATTTTAGATTTGAAGAACAGTATTTTTACCCAAATAAAACTTTAGTTTATAACTGCAGTTCCGTTTTCCGATACTTTATGTCGATTATTCTCATTTTTCAATGAACAAATTGTAAATCCGAATTTGATTCGAGAATCATTGATGCTGCAAAATCGAGTATATTGTAGATTTTACACACGAATTATGGAATAAAAGCAATGTTTTTATATTCATCGTCTAATTTTCATTCCTTGCCCGTTGCTAAATAAAAGGGAAAGAAGGATCCGAAAAATAAAACGGCGCGAGTTCATCTTAGATTTGTCAATTGCTCTTTATTACTTCATTTAATTTTTTGTTGTTTTTTTTTTCCTTTTTTTTATTTTTGTTTCATTTTTAACCTGTGCACTGTTGATAATGATCGATACTTATTATGCTTTTTTTGTCTTTTATCATTTTCTCGTTTGAGTTTTTCACATTTTACACATCAATTGTTTCAAGACTCTTCACATGTAACAATGAATATTATTTTTTTTTTATAATAATTATGTATGTATGTAAGGATACAATAAAACTTAATCCACAATACATTATTAGCGCGACACTCGCCACGGAATCATGATACAATATTCAGAAAATTATCGACTGAACAGAAAAAAAAAATTATCATTACTCCAAAATCAATTCTCTATTATTTATCGCAAACGACGCGTGGTACGCTTGTTTTTCTTCTCGAGTACATAAATTGTATTTATATATTTATCAAGAGTCTCGATTTGCGCCTCTCAGTAAACAACTTAATATATTAAAATTTTTTCTAGTTTTTTTTTGTTTTACTTTACCTCTGCGTTACATTATTATTACGCTTTTTTCAGCTTTGACATACACTCGACGTCATACGTAATATAATTAAATGTTATTTTTCATCTCCTTATAATCAATTAACATAATATAAATAAATATAATCGTCTTTTTTTTCGCCATTCTTTCATAAAGATGAGTGAAAAAACTTTAAAACCTCTTTTCTTTTCTTTTTCTTCTTTTTTTCGTCATTACAATTATTAATCCTAATTAATATTATATGTAATAATATAATATATGTTGTATTGTAAATATTATAATTCTTTTGTACGCTGCCGTGAGCCTTCGAACATCAGCGCAACTCCGCACGCGCTCCAGTTGTGTGTGTTGAATTATTATTTTTTTTTTGCTTAGTTTTTTTTTTTAATTTTTTTTATACATATAATACGTGGTGCGTAACTGTATATATATGTGTTTTAATGTATGCGCAAAGTTTTTTTTTTTTTTACCACACATACAAGAGAGAGAAATAAATATAGCAGATACATCCGTAAATTATCAACTCATCGTGTACAATGTTATTATTATTATTAGCTTTGCCTTTGCATTAGACACACACATATACGCGAAATTCCACCGCGAAAAAACGAGGAATGATACGGCCTCGCATTAAGACGAGCATTACGCTATTTTGCTTCATTACACCGTGAATGCCACCCGTGGACGCGTGATCGACGCGCGATCGCTTCCTCGGGGATAATTTTTGTTTATAATATTTCTTGTATTTTTTGTTTTTTTTTCGTGTTGAATATAGTTGAGTATATGTTTTGTCGTGTGAGTGGGTGTGTTTGTGTGTGGGTGTGACCAAGGTGCACGTTTTTTGTAATCTGCTTTTTTAAACACACATACACGCACGCAGATCGATTGTACATCTTCGGATAATTATAATTAATTTTTTTTTACTCACATATAAATCATACGTACGCGATTTTTTTCACACAAATATATTCACAAACTTTTTTTAGCTAATTTCGGCTAATCATCTCGTAATCTAAAACTATTACAATCGTAATAATAATATGAAAAAATAATATCGTTACTTTACGAAATAATATATTTTTGACTTTTTTTCTGTCGCTTTAATCAAGTATTAATGTATACAATAATAAAAAATTTTTCTTTCCTTTTTTGTTTTTATAATCCTTCTTATCTACAAGTGCACGTACAAGTAACGTCTACTTCAATTAATATATTAATCATTACGTTCCTATCGTGTACATATAATATCAATATATATCGGATTTAAGAAGAATTCCTCATTCTTGCTACAATACAATCGTAAATATTAATATCTCATATACGGTTCTATATAAACGTCCTCGCAGCTCGTTCGCACGACGCAAAGTGTTATTACATTTATATCATCGTTATTATATTATTTATATTTTTGTTTTGTAATTTTTTTTTCACGTTTCACTAGGGTATGATAATAATAATAATATCGTGCATATACAATTACACGTTTAAATAATCTCGTGCGTTGACATAGATCTATCTATGATAATGATATAATAATTATATATTTATGCACACACTTACATTGTCCCTTTTTTATATCGTTTCTGTGTGTGTGCATCATATATGCATATAAGTTTTTTTCCTTTTTTTAAAGCTCGACGGGGGAGTTACACATTTAATTACACGGGCGCTCGCTCGCGCATGTATGCATGCACAGCGCACACACATTTTTCGATGTGCATAGCGGCCGGCCACCGCATACATAACGCAACGGCGAAACGCGCAGGAGATAGAGAAAATAGAGAGAATAGAGAGAGAGAGAGAGAGAGAGAGACAGAAAAAAGGGCACATATAGCGTTGCGCTATCCGGTATATCGGTATGAATTTCCGGGCTGAAATATCTCCGCGGCGATCATCAGCTAGGGTAGAGAGAGAGAGAAAGAGAAAAAGAGAGAGATTCACGCTTTGATGAATCGAGGAAACAATGAAGAGAAGAAGTTGGCTATATAATCTGCCTCGGCATATCTATGCGTGTCCGCGTGTCGACGGACCCGAGACATTGACATTTAAACTCTATGTACTCTTCACGTGATTCTGTAAGGTTATTATTTCGTCTTCGTACGAGAGACTACTTTAATAATGTTGTAACTTAACTAATTTTACCTATGTCTAGTGGTTCTATGACGGATCTCTATTTTATATACGTGTATTACAAAACTTTTATATACCACGACGTTATGTTACAATTATTACGATTAGATATATCCATACGCACGCTTATTGCGTTTTACAATTATTTTAATTATTAGTTAAAATACGTTGTATATAGCCACTTGCGGGTGTTTATTATTATTTAATGTTTTTTTTTTTACTGTTTGCTTCATTTTGATTCACAACGACCATATTTATACGTTTATTCACACACATGCGACTTTAATTTACTTTATTATTATTAATTATTATTTTTCCACCTGCCTAACGTCAAAGACACAGCGAAGATTACTCATTTATTCGGGTTATACGTACAACTATTTTAATTATATATAAATTTTCTAATTATTCGTAAGAAGGGTCGTGAACAAGGGGTGGTGTTACACATTATTTTTCATCGTTTTTTTTTTCATTTTAATGCATGCGTACATATATACTTTATAAATTTTCTTCTTTTTATATTAATGCGTTAGACACGAAAAACTACTTGTTGTTGTTGTCTTTTTCATTTTGTTGATTTCGTTAATTAATTTACGAAATTGACCACTCTCTATGAGTTAAGATAGGGGGGGCCCATTCATTTATTATATATTCAACTTGATCACAATGCTTTTTTCATCGAGATTTGTTTTTTTTTTTTTTTTTTTTTTAAATTACTTTTGTTTAATTATGTTTTGTTTTTTGTTTTCTTTTAAATTGCGTTAAACTTCGTGACGATTAATATTAATATAATCCGCTATGTTTTGTCTATATTCATATTACACACGAACAAGCATACACAGTTATAATTTATTATATATTATATATAATAACATGCGTAAGATATTTGTATACGTCAAGCAGCGGTAAAAGGCGAGAAAAAAAACTTCTTGTTCATACGTTTTTTTTTTTTTATACATATATAATATGAATTATTGGTCGGTTTCGATTACGAAGCAATATGTGAGTTTACTTAGTTTGTTGAAAATTAAATTTACACGTTTACAAGTAATCAGGTAAGTTGACGTCGTTCGAAGCGTATGATTTATCGATACGCTTTTTTCACGCAGCTTCGAAATAGCCTAGAGTGCGATTGTGTGTGCGTGTGCTGTTGTTGCAGTTAAAACGACGAGCATAGAGAGATAGAGAGGCGACGCCCACGCGCTTTGTATACATAATATCTATGTAGCCGTATTATATAAATTGCGTCAGGCAAAGCCTCCTCTCTTTCTCTGGGTCAAAACGCAATTATTATTACGTCTTTCATAGACTTTCCCAATCGGGGGGTATCGTCGTCGCGTTTATATTATTAAACGTATATACGTTCATTCGTTTTATAATTAAAAATGTAAAACGAGTTAATTCTATTTTAATCATGTGCGCACACGTTCATTCTCGCGAAATTCATGTAAACGGACGAAAAAAAAAATTAATCAACGCGGGTCCGAAATTGAAGACCGAATGAACTTTTCATTAGGCCGGCCGTAGCACGCGCATTCATATCGTCCAGTCGGAAAATCGAGTCGAGATTTTTTTTCCGCGCGTGTGTTTTGCCGCTACCACCCACGCACAACGTTATTATTTACGATGAGAGAGCTGAGAGCATACTCGACCGCGATTAAAATTTATTTGTTTCGCTCAGTGTTAAAGTTAATGAACGAATCGCGGATTTTTCTTTTACGCATCGCAGTTGTGCGTAATTTTTTTCGTTGATCGTCGATACATTTTTTACGCTCGCATCCACTCACGCACGCACACGCACGCATTATCTTAAATTATTTTTTTCATCAACGCAGTAGCAGGTTTCGATGCATCTCGAGGGATTTGATTATTTTTTGTTTATTTTCCTGCACTTGATAAAAACGACGGGAGGAGAGAGAGAAAGTGATTTATGTATGTTTCACAGCGCTTTTGAATACTTGTGTGTTTTGTTTTGTTTATTTGTTTCTTTTCGGTTGCACTTATAATATTTTATACTTTATATTTAAACCGTGTTTTTTCCCCGCGAAATCGAGTTTTAAGCCGATTGGGAAAGCCTTTTTTTTTAACTCCTGCACACACGCACACACACAGACACAAACACTTTATTGCACAAAGAAAATAAAAAGAGTCGCGCACGTACAGAGAGGCGTTGCGGGGCTAAACAATTTCATATTTTATTCATAAAGATGCGCGCAAACACGCAGACATCTACAGACACAAATACACCACACTCACACTGACGTAATCGATAAAATCGAGTGCCGCTGCTGCTGCTCTCGAGACTTTCGATAAATATTGCACGAAATTACAATGCGCGCATACGGCTCGTTACTCGTAGGGATATGAAAGAAATGCGGTACTCTTTTATTTTTTTTCTATTCAACTCGTTTGTCGTATATATGTACACGATAATAAACAAACGGAGCGTGAATCGTACGTTTAAAGATATATTTATAATATTTATGTACAGAGCATTTTGAATTTCGATTTTGCAAAAAACTATTGTGTTACAAGATTTCGTTATTGACTCTTAGGGTACAATATTTTTATCGTAATATTAATATACTTTTTTTCCTTGCAATAAGTTAATAATGACTCTAAACTTGTTTTGTTTTTATTTTATTGCGTTTCATAAAATTGAACTTTTTTTGATATTATTAGTTATTATTTTTATACGACGTCAGTGTGAGTATTGTTTCGGAGAGAGGGTCACCTCGTTCGCGCATTTTTATTGCTCGTGGAAATTTGACAATTGTTTATGATTTTTTTTTTGTATCATAAAGGCATAACCCTCCTCTGCACGCGTCGCGTCAAACGGAAAAACTCTCGAGAGCTAAATTTGAACACGAAAAGCGAGAGAATTTTTATTTATTTATTTCTTTTTTATTTTATGTTTTGTTTGTCGACCACGTCCAGCTTCCCTGTTTATAATTATTTGGCTCTCTTAGCCGGAAAATATTCAGCCGCGCGCGGAAAACGCATTCGTTAACGCGTTCGCGAACGTCAACTTACCCTTGTCAAAGTCATAGAGGCGATATAATAAAACGAAGAAAAAAAATACCGCGAGAGACAAAAAAGAAAACAAGCAGTCGATAGAATGTTAAATATGTACTTTACTTTTATGTCAATGAATATTTTACAGCGTAGTACAAAAAAAATAATAATAAAGAAAGAAAAAGTAATTGAATAAATTCGAGCGGTTACTCTTTCCTACTCGTACGATCGAACGTCAGCGACAATTCCGAGAGAGAAAAGGAGAGAGTGATACAATATAGATAATTCACAAGCCTTGAAAAATTTCGAAAAAACACGAGCATGCATTTTTTGTACAATCAATTCTTAAATTTTTCACTTTTGGTTCGTTCGTTTGCGTGTGCGGCGTCGCAGCAGCGCAAGACGTAGAAAAAAAAGTTTGAAAAAAAAAACACCACGAGAGATAGTCCTTATATCATTCCTAAATGATTAAATTTTATCGCTATTCTTTCATTTTCTTTACAATTATACGTCGTAATTTTTTTATTTTTCTTTTACTTCGTTTAAACATACGTCGTTTGCACAGACCTGAAAGAGCTCGTTTTTTCATAGCATTTGATAAATTCGTAATTATTTTATTTTAGTTTTTTTTTTTTTACATGAAAAAAATTTTTTATCATTTTTCCACTTGTTTTTTTTTCTCAAGCAATTAGTCGTACAATAACCGTGCAAATCGTCGTGCAAGAACGATCATACCGCGTCTTGGGCGCCATAATTTTAGGAGAACAGAAAAATCATAAAGTCCATTCAGTAGTATAACAAAATAATAAACTTTCATTATCGATATATCTTACAATTATTTTATGTATATCATATTTACTTTTATCGTTATAAATCTCACATCGTCTGCGATTAACTTACGGATTATAATATCGAGATAAGGGATCGTAATAATTTTTTTTGTTTTCTCGTAATAATTATTGTGTTTCTCACTCGCGTGTCTCGCAGCGCTTCCAAAAATCACACACGTACGTACAAATACACATTTAAATTTTTGCAGCATTTATATTATTTATCATTATTATTATTATAATAGCCGAAGAGCGAGCCAAAAACGCGCGAGGCCGATTGTTCTTTTCTTTTTTTTTTTGTAAAGGATATATATTACGCGATTCGTGAGATCAAGTGACGCGGAGATATAGACAGAGAGAGAGAAAAGAATTCATAATCCACCGCAGCGTCTTTACGGCTCGCTCTTGGCCGTCGTCATCGTCATCATCACCATCATGTCATCATCATCATCAGTTTTCTAACGCGTATAACGTGCACCCTGGTCTTTTCGTATTATTTTTTGTTTTATTTTCATTACCATTATCATCGTCGTCGTCATTGTTGTCGTCGTCGTCGTCGTTGAGACAGAGAGATAAAGAGAGATCGAGAGACAACAATTCGCAGCTAACGTCGGCGGCGTCGGCGGCGATTGTCGTCGTCGTTTTTTCGGTGGGTCGCGAACGCGGGGGGGACTAGCACTTGCGATTGTTGTTGGCGTTGCTGTTGTTGAGCCTGAGACGGTCCTGGCGTCGGGGCCGGCGAGCCTTGCCCGTCGAGGCGACCTCGCGCACCTTGTTGCCGCGCTCCAGGCACTTGCGCTTCGACGACTGCGCCGACCGCTTCTCCAGCATCTAAAGTCGTACATATCAAGTTTTTATTTTTCGTACACGAAATAGGTAAAAAAAACTCGTGTCAACACCCTCCGTTCTATTCGTTATAAAGTTAAAGATGTAGAAAAAAAAAGATGAAAAAAATAATTAGTTTGATATGTTTCGATGACTGCGCACGGAGAAATAGAGCTAGAATAAATTACCGTAATGATCTTTGTTTTAATTTCCACGCAAAAATTTTAATCATAATAATCAATTTATATAACACAATTAGTTACATTTTTCAAACTACTATAGTAAAATTGTCTTTGAATAGGATTTTACTGTTAACTCATCGGCCACTAGATGTCTCATTGCCAACCCGCAAGTGATGAAATTCATATTGGTCTATATAATCGATCTTCTATCTGCGTGGAACTGTCATAGAAATTTTTAGGGCTGTGCGAGTATCCGATTTTTCGATTTTTACTCGACTCGAACTCGACTCGAACTCGGCGAGTCGAGTTCGAGTCGAGTCGGGAAAATTCGAGTACTCGAGTTTTTTCGAATACTCGATTTTTTTTCGAGTACTCGAGTTTTTTCGGGTACTCGAATTTTTTCGAATAATCGATTCTTTTCGAGTACTCACAATGTATTTCAATTTTAAGTAAATAAATGGTGAATCATCAGTCTCTAGACCACCTCTCTTTGTGTGTACATGCTTATAAGTTTGATATTCGCAGCGGATTGGATTGGAAGAAGAAAATAATTTAATTGTACCGCACTTCATCACACTTACAATCACGTACACACAAAAGGAGGGGTCTAGAGACTGTTAATTCATCATTTATTCACTTAAAACTTGAATATATTGCGAGTATTCGAAAAAACTCGATTACTCGAAAAAACTCGAGTACCCGAAAAAACTCGAGTACTCAAAAAATCGAGTACTCGACTCGAACTCGAGGAAAAAACTCGAACTCGACGAGTCGAGTTTTTTCGAGTACTCGCACAGCCCTAATAATTTTAGCTATTTCGCCAAATTTCTCCGTGCCACGATACTGCCAAATAAATAATTATAAAAAAAATGGTATTGAAGGTCAAATTACCGAACTCCGCCATGTTATATCGGCCAAGAGATCGTGATGATCCTGATTATCACGCGTGCCCTGACTATCCCACCATGCGTAATTTCGTTCACAAACCTTCTGTGCCGAGCGCATCTGTATTATCCGCAGGTTCTCGTCGCCCCGGGCGTTCCGCAGGTCCTTGACGCTCGAGCGCCTCTGCCCGGATGGCTGCTGCTCGACCACCTGCTGCTGCTGCTGATTATTGTTGTTGTTGTAGTTTTGATTGTTATTGTTGTTGTTGTTGCTGCACCGATGGGGCGACGTGTTGTGTTGCTGATTGTGATGATGAGACTGGTTGAGATGATGGTGATGATGATGATGATTGTGTTGATGCTGACGCTGCCGATGAGTCAGCTTCGGTTCCATCATCGGCTGCTGCTGCTGCTGCTGCATCAGCTGCTGTTGATTGTGTTGTTGTTGTTGCTGGTTCTGGAGGACATTGTGATTCCTCGAGGTCAGCGGGTACCGCGGTGGCAACGTGGGCGCCGCGATGATCGCAGCGGCGGGGGGCATCCTCGTCGTCATCGTCGCCAGTCTTCCTCCGCGATGATTGTCGTTGGCGGCTAACGGAGCCACCACCACCGCCGCCGCCGCCGAGTTTGGCGTGGCACCGGCGGCCTTGACCACAACCATGGACTTGGGCACGATTCTACGCTGACGATGCTGCTTGGACGAGCTGCTCTTGCGAGGATGTTGTTGCTGTTGCTGTTGATGTTGTTGGCCGCTGCCGCTGACGCTGCGCAGTTGAGAGCCGAGACCGAGGCTGGCCTCGCTGCTGGCCGATCGGTAGACCGACATGCTCGGGTGCTCGATCAGAAGATCCTCAAGGGGCGACGTCTCGACGTGGACGGGGCCGGGCTGGGTGAAGCAGGCCGGCGGCGTGACGTACCAGGACTCGTCCATGCCCGCCTGCTGCTGCTGCTGAGCGGTTGCACCGGTCGTGCTCGGTCCATCGACTGTTGGGAAAACGAGAAAAAAAAATTAAGATTTTATGTTATCGATGTGATCGTTGTATATGTGTGGCAATTTAAAAGGATTTTTTTAAAATAAAATTGTCTTTAACATCAACAAAATACTCTGTTGAAATTTAAGAACGAAATTTATAGAGAAAAAAGTTATGACCGATTACAAAACAAAACTTTGAACGCGTTTTTCTGGAAACCACTTTATTGAGAGTCCGATCTTCATGTTTCTTGTCTTTTCAATCGTTACATCTTTCTCTAATAAACGAACTTCTGAAAAGTTCAGAAAATTATCCCTAATTTTTTTTTACGTGGGTGAACTCACCCGCCTTTTTTCAATTTTTCAAAAAAACTCATGCCAAAATCGTAAAAAGCAAAAATATCAAATTTTGAGAGGTTTATCCGTCAGAAAAAGTTATAAATATTAAAAAGATATATGAAACATGAGGATTAATCGTTCACCAGTTGAAACGAGGATTTCAGTAAATTTCATCTCCAGTCGACAAAATGTGTCTTAAGACCCTCAAAAAATTTGTTTTTAGTTCAATACGTAAGGAGTAATACTCAAAGGTACGTAGATTAATCAAATTCAGAGATCTTGTCATCTAAAATGTATTCGGTCAAAAAAATTATAGATTAGAGAATTTTGTGAATTGAGGAGTTTTTGAAGAAATTAATTAATTAATGAAAATGGAACATTTAAAATGTTGAAAAATGTAATTATTAAATTGGCTTGTTTTTAGTAACTTTTTGTTTCAATTATGATAAAAATATTGAGAGAATTTTAAATGACGATTCCAACCATTTAGACTAGTTTACACGATTATATAACTTTAAACCTCCGCCACTAGATGGCGAGTACCTTTTTTTCGTAAAGCTACAAGTAGCAAAGTCAGAATATTTGTATAAGTCATGATAAAAATTAGTAGGTATTCATAAAAAAATTTATTTATTGTTAACTGATTTTTCGTTGATAGAAAACTAGCCATAAATTATCGAGCATTGCCACCTGAGAGGTTTCGAAAAAATTTCTTTGAATGAATAATTCAATATTAATTATTACTTATATATTATAATTATTAATAATTGAATCTTTATTTCACTCGAATATTTATTTTCGAGGTAAATTTAAATGTAAATTTCTTTCAAAAGGAACGAAATTACACGGCCAAATTTATAAATTAAAAAGAAGTTTTTTTGCAAATGGTCACCAAATGAATTAAAGGGCTCGAAATTAGACTGCCTATATATCCAATTATTTCCGGCACTCACCATGCTGATCGACGAGGATCCAATCGTCGCCCTCGACCTCGATCTGCCTGAGCCTGGCGTTAGCCAGCGCCGTTCCCGCGCTGTTGGGTATGGGCTGGGCCATCGTCGCCGCCGAGGCCAGATCCGCAGCTTCAAGGTTGTTGTTGCTCGCCGCCGCCGCCGCAGATGCCGCCGCCGAAGAGGAGGAATCGACCTCGCCGTCCTCGGTGCCTCCGGCGCCCATCAAGAAGTTGGCGATTCTGCTCAGCATCCTGTTGCCGCTGCTGGTACTCTCCGAGCTACTGCAATGATTGAAAAAAGAAAAAATTATAAGAGTTAAAATAATAATAAAAAAAAAAAATGGTTAGTAAGTGCTATCGAAGGACGAGAGAGAGAGGATAGAGAGATTACGACGAGAGTTCGCGATGCCATGGTAATTGAATTTGAAGTTTAATCGAATAGCCGCTGCTCGCTCGCGAGAGAGATGAAGAGATACAATATATATATAGATGCGCGGAGGATAAGCGAGAAACTTCCCGCGAGCCGCAGCTGGGCAAGGTTGACGCGATCGCGTAGTGCTGGAAGGCACGCGCAACAAAGTCGAAGGTGATCCCTTTATATTATTTTATATTATTTACCCAGCCCATTTAGTCGCTATGTTCTGGCGACTGCTGTCTCATATCATACATTTTTGTACACGCACATAGTATCAGCCACACGAAAAAATCGAAGACTAGCAGAGGAAGCAGTATCTGCAACTTTGGCATCAGCCAGGGCACCAGGTAGCGCAGCACGAACAACGCGGGCATACACATCAACGATATAATATCCGCCAGGGCGATAAAGAATAGGAACAAATAAATAGGAACGTACTTTTCTCGAACTTGAAAAACGTATTGGAAATAGCGAGGCGCGTAGAGGGTTACCGATAGAGACATGTTTTATTTTTGTTTCGCGTAAAACGCGCGCAAAAATTAAAATTAAAAATTTGCAGGATAAAATAAAGAAAATAATAACTCACGGAAAATAATACCAGAAACGGATAAACAGGTGCTTTTTTAAATGTATCCGACCGATTCGCTCGCTAGCAAGGATTATGTATCGCAGCAGCTTAGAAAAATTCTAAGTTCAAACTCTAAATTCGCCAAAGTATACGAGCTCGCGTCTCTACTCCGATCCTGGACCGTACGCGATGTTGCACGCGCGACTTGTCAAAAGCGACTGACCGAGCCTACATCTCTTCCAAAACAGTTCGCCCACCCATAACAACAACAACATCTATTCTTTCTCTTTCTCTCTCTCCTAAATCCAGATAGGTACGAAACATATCGTCCGCGTTTCATCATTCGTCGCATATGTTAAGTGGTGGGAGTATAGATGTGTATGTTTTCGTTTTGGTCGCCACCTGTAAACCCGTATACACAACACATATAACATCATCTTTTTCTCTCTTTTCTTTTTTTGAACGAAAGCCAATTACACACGAGCGAGAGTGAGAGAGAGAGAGAGATCTGGCCGAGCTCTCGTGTGCCACTCGTGCTCTATACGCTTTTATATTAAAATACTAAACTAAGAATAACGAATGTCAAAGCTCCTCTTTTCTCTCTCTCGCGTAGTTACATCTGTGGGGGGATATATAACACGCGCGCGCGCCAATATATATATTGAGTTTCACGCTTGCGTCGCGTGAGCACCACTCGGTGAAGAGCTGCTGCTGTAATAATAATACACAGTAGTTGGAGTAGTATGGAGTCGATTTATCGATTCTTTTTTTTCCTTTTTTCTCTGTATCATATAGACACAATCGAGGATATCTATCGAATGGAAAGAAAGAATCACACAGAGAGATAGAAATTCTCGTCGTACTCGATACTTTTAGCAATTAGTGCTTGCCAAATCGCGCGCGATGCATCAAGCACACAAGCCTTTGTTGTTCGTCGTCGCATACCGACGAAATGAATAAAATACGAGACGCGCCGCGCGTTTATTATCTATTTCTCTCGATGTGGATGTGTTGCATCGAGTAATCGGATCGCACTACGGGTTTCGTTTCGCGCAGCTGGCCTCTTCTGTTTATTACTTTGAAAAATTTTTGCAATTTACTTCCAGGCAACTGTGCACGCGCGTTTCGTGCGCTTTGTTACATCGATCTTCGAGTGCAATTTTTGTTATATTGGCACTCGATCGCGTATGGACGAAGCGTTAAAAACTTTTCATTCGCGCGTTCGAGAGTCGTTTATCCGTTTCTCTCTCTCTTGACCAAATTAAAAAAGTGACGTACGCACGAAGGTATTAAATAGTTTTCCGGAATTTTCGCAATATACTCTTTGAAACGTTATACACACTCTTGTTCCAAACTTTTGGCAAATGAAATTTCGAAGTAGAATAGACGAATTGATATAAGTACGTGGAGAAACTTATATAGAAAAAATTGCCAAATGTATAGAAAAAATTACTATATTTTATAGTAAAAATTTGATATTTCTAACCTATGACAAAATTTACTACTTTTATTGTAATTTTTCTTATGTTTCTGCTGATTTTTACTATATTTCTAATAAATTTTGATAAATTTTATAGTAAATTTTATTACAAGACAGAAATGTCACTTTTTTACTAAAATTTTTTTAATTTTTCCTACATATTGGTTTCTCCGTAAGCTTTGTTTTTTTCAAAATTCATCGTATCACGAAATTCAATGATTTTTTAGCTCAAGAGAAAGTCCTCACTTTAAGGATCTTTAAACGTATGTATACACCCGACCCACTGACCGATACTCGCGTTTCGTCACTCCTTTAAAGCCACTGTAAATCCGCAACTGTATTGCGTCGCTAATTTTCAATTTTCGAACGCAAAACGAAAACAAAGGCACGAAAATTACGCGCTTTACAATAATTGCGACGACATTGAATTCATTATCGCCGCCCCGAGCTCGAGGAAAAGAAAGAAAGAAAAGCAATTGCACAAACTGCGTCGTATGCATCGCTCAACGACGACGACACGACGACGACGATGATACGAGTCGTGTGCGAGCAGCACGTGTCGCGCGATCGACTCTCTTTCTCTCTACGACGCGATAACGATTTCGATACTTTGTGCTTTTTTAGTCGACTCGGACATCGGCTCGAAATAAATAAATAAATGTATATAAGGCACATCTATAGGTAACGGCGCGTAAGTTAAGTGCGGTGACGCATAATATACATACACAACGACGGTCACGAAAAAAGAAAAAAAAAGAAAAAAAAAGGAGAACGAAACAAAAAAAAACAATGCTGAGCGCACAATGAAATCATGAAAAAAAAAGTACGCTGCACACTTGCGCGACTTTGCCACTATACCATAGAGTCACGAACGCACACACACACACACACACATAATATACATGAAAAATAAAACAATGAGCGATCTCTCGCTAATACACTCGCGTACACACACACACACGTATACGCGCGTTTTTTGCGTCGTTAACGCTACTACGGACAGCGCGCCGCTGAGGCAGCATCATTATCATCATCGCTCGACCCGAAATCGGCGCGCACTTCCTCTCCCCGCGCGTAATGTATAAAATACTATACAACATGAAAATTTATAAAACGCTTAACGCCGAGGTAAAAAAAAAAGGAAACTTGCCTCTTCTGCGCGTTGTGCATCCTGTGGCTCTCTCTCTCTCTCTATGTGTTCTATATTTATATATATATCAACTAATGTCTACGTCACGTGCACCAGTAGAGCCACCACACACGCACACACTATATACTCGATCGACTCGAGATCGCTTCTGGGTAATAATATAATAATCGTTTTAGAAAATAAGGGGAACACTTTAGATGTGTGCTGTTACTGCTGCTGTGCTGCTTTTGTGCCGTTGCTGCTGCTGCTGCTGCTAATAAAGCAGTTGGCGAGAGACTGAAATGTTGCTGCTGCTACTGTTGGCTGGCTGGCTAGCTCTAAGCACGAAATGCTCGTCTTCTGCTTCATATATATATCGCGCGGATATTATATGCAACGCGACAAATTTTCTTTTTTTGCGCGCCGCGCGCACGAAGAGCGAGAGATAAAGTGTACATATAAGATATAGAGCAGCAGCAGCAGCAGCGCAGCAGCGAGTTACATAAAAAGCATAAATAAAAAAAAAGCTCGCTCTCGATCGTATACAGTACCCACCGAAAAATTTGAATTTCAAAAACGAGCGGTATAGGATAGCGTGTATCGGAGAATATACGGAGATCTCCGTATAAACGATATATAGTATATTCGTGAAAGATGACAACGAATGGAAAAGCTCGAGTATATGTATGTGTACGTGTGCGCGCGAGTTTATAAGCGACTACTCGGCTGCGCGGTGCCGTTGACCTTCTTCTTCTTCTTCTCTCTCCTTTTTTTTTGTTCTTCTCTTTTTTCTGCTTCTGCTCGTATTATAACATACATATACACACGAAACTTGCAGATATATAGAAGGTATACGTACACGAAAAGACGTACATATGTAACGCTACCGATTTTCTTAACTACGCAGTTGTGTGTTTATCCTTTCGCGTATTACTGGCCTGCTAAATTTATCGATGCTCAAAAATAATAATCTCCGCATACGCGTTTAGTTTAGAGTTCGGTAGCAGCAGCAGCAGCAGCAGCAGAAGCAGCGGTTATATGCAAGCTCGAGCTCGAATGACGCCAGAGTGACAGAGAATAAAGAGAGAGAGAGAGAGAGAGAAAAATCGTACAGCACGATATGCATACGTATATTTTTTTTTATTCATAAATTGCCTGCTCGACTTGCAGTGCTGAACGAGCGACAAACAAAACGCGCATAGTCTCCCTTTTATTTTTTTCGTTCTCGTATCGGCTCTCGGACAAATAATCGATTATTCCCTCGCGATTCGTTACCTCCTTTCTTTTTCATTTTTTTTTTTTTTTCGTTTTACACCGTCGAGAACCCTTTTCTTTTTATCAACGTAATATTGGAAAAAGCGTCACTGCGCGTCGTTGATGATCCATTAAAAATAACGCGTTTTATATATAATGCAATATATATAAAAAGAAGAGTTTATTTGTCCTGCAGGCCTTGCGCTTTATATCTCCTAGACTCTGTAGATATCATACCCTATATATTACACTCCTCATGGAATAAACGTATAAACTCGAGGCTCGTTAAAATTAAATTGTCCCGTGCGCTCGAGTGACTTCTGTGTATATATACGTATGTATATACACTCGACGTCGCTCGGGGGAAAAAATACACATACACGTTTTAAAAATATCATCACTTCGCTTCGAATTTTTCCCATATTTAACGCGGTGA